ATATTAGGAAGACACCATGGTACTATCATGTCAGAGAGCCCAAAGGGGGAGAATAAATTTCAAGGAGGACTTGATTAATAGTATTGTTGCCGTCAGAGAAATCAGAATATGGGTGAACAAAATGCTGTTATATTTTTCAAGATGAGTTATTTATTTTGGTAACATTTTTCTTTTGATGAAAATTAAAGTTGATTCTTCAGAGTCACTTTTAAGCCAGTTACGGCAGTTTCCTTTTTTATATAAATTTATTTATCTTGATACCACGTATTTTAAATAGCCGTCTTCAATTCATATGTAATAATGTTACCAAAAATTAAAGAATTTTCAATTTTCATTGATTCAGTAATGATCTAAAGTAATTTGATGACACCTGGACTACTGGAGTATGGATAGCTTCCCTTCAGATATATGTTTGTTTATGTTGTTAACTATCATAATAATTAGAAGGTGGCCAAAGCATATTTTAATCATATGTATGACAGTGTCTGTCTTCAGTATCTAGTGTACATTCTTTTTTTTTTTAATAATTTTTATTTATTTTCCCCCAAAGCCCCGTAGTTAGTTGTACATCATAGTTTCACATCCTTCTAGTTGCTGTATGTGGGACGCGGCCTCAGCATGGCCGGAAAAGCGGTGCGTTGGTGCGCGCCCGGGATCCGAACCCGGGCCGCCAGCAGCGGAGTGCGCGCACTTAACCGCTAAGCCACCGGGCCGGCCCTGTGCATTCTTAAATTAAGTTTATTTTCCCCCAGGTTGATAAACCTTAAAGGTTCTTTATACATCAGGAAGGACTTTTTAAGGGTATTCCTTAGCATAAATTCCATTTCTCAGCTGTTTTATTCTTGGGATATGAGTCTATCTCATAAAATTCTTAAGGTATCTCAAAAGATTCATAATTTTAAGTTGTGGAGCATTTTCTAGGTAAGATGTTCCCTTCTAATCAATGGTTCATTTTAAAAAATCAATGAGACAAAAATTAACCCTGGTCATAGACTTGGAATAATTCCATAAGAGGATGATTTTGCATAAGATAGCCCATATTTTTAACCTTGATTTGTGTTGAGTTCCTCTAGACCTACATACTTCTCATATTCAGCTGTATTTATGTTCTTCATGATTGATAATAATTTAGACCTTATAATTTTTATCCATATTCTAGTGCTTTTAGCATACCTCATTTCCAGATTTGTCTAGTTCTTCCAAAAAGCCTTCTGAATATCAGATGTTAGGACTTTAGAACTGGGTAGGACTCTTGTGATCATTTAAATTATCTCTATAATTTCACAGAGAGATTAGGTGATTTGCCCATTGCTAGAGAAGAGGTCTGGTCTGTCAGATCTTAGGCCTCATTCCTCTGTCTCCTTTAATTATTTATCATCATTCCACTTCACAAAAATTATATTAGAAGTTGTGGATGGTATTCTGCCTTGAAAAAGGTACTAGTATTCTTCATTAAATATGCCAGTTCTATCATCGTGAAAGCTCTTAACTCACTTGTTGTATTGATTTCATTTTTTTCAAATTCAGTATAAAGCTCTAACAAGATTGTACCACTCATTTCTTGGAAATATTTCTAAATTTCTTTAGTCAGTATGAGAATTTTCCTACAAAGGAGTCATTATTTTAACTTGTCTGATCCTTTCATCTCTTGCTTTAAAAAACAAAACAGAATAACTTCTTTATCATAATTGCTAAATATGTTTTTCTATTTTCATTTAACTCCTTGAAATTTTTGCACTTATTAATAAATACTATCTCCTGGTTTTCTCAACTTTCCTTATTGTGATTTAATGTGTGAGTTTTATTATGTGGTCTTTACATATGTCCCAAATAACCTTTAGCCAGAATACTTGATAGAAAAATAATTTATCTAAAATGCATTTATTTTGAAATTTGTGATTATTACTCATTTCTATTTTTTGATTTACTACAGCATGCAATAAATACTAGCCTAAGTTATATACAATATTAAATTTTATGTTGACTTATTCTCTTGTTAAGCAGTATATTTAATTTTATGATAGGCCCATACAACTTTAATATGGATAAAGAGGATATTTTCTTCCTTTAGGTTTTTGAATATAAGCCTCATTGCTTTCTAGTTACACTTGCATATTCAAGTAGTGCCTTTATTATCAAACTTTTTCTTTGAGAATTCTTATAAATACTTTGACCCTGGTTTAAGAAGATGAAATCCTTTTCAGAGAGAAATATTTAACTTTCTTTTTTGGTTGGCTTAGTTAATCATAGCATAATTCAGAAAAATTCAGAAAAACAGCTAGGGTTTATTTATATAGAGAAAGCAAAATATTTTCCTACCTTATATCAACTGGAAAGCCTAGTCTGCATTTTGTAGTTATGGGTGTTTATTATCTGAGGAGCCATTACTAAATATAAATTTTGCATTTTAATTAATAAAGTTATAGGCACGTTTTCGAATTGGTTTCGAATTGCTTCCAAATTCGAAAGCAGATTCTTTCAATGCCTTTAATGAATAATGGTTAATCCAAATAATGTATTTTTCCCTTTTCTCACGTAATTGAAATACACTTTTATTTTCTCCATGTAAGTCACATTGGAGTTAATACCAATGCCTCACACCAAGAAATTGGTACCTGCCATGTTAACAATGGCACGTGTTATGTAGGAATCACAGTGATCTTCAACAGGATTGTGATTTTTTCTTTTTTTTTTTTTTTTAAGTTCCGCCTCTCCTAAGTATTCTTTTAAAGATCTTCTACTAACTGTAAATGTGGCAACATTGGTAAATAGCAGGGGTATAGGGTTGATTAATCCTTACCACTACCCCTTCCGCCGAAAAGAGGGGGAAAAAAAAACGTAGAGCAAGGTTTCCTAAACATTATGTGAAGGATACCAAGTGATGAAAAATACCTTTGGCATTGCTGAGTCAGACTTCTCTCAGATCTTTTCTTCTGTTCTACTGTATACTTAGAATTGTACACTTAGACTTATACTAAAGTACAGTCGTGCACTGCATAATAATGTTTTGATCAATGATGGACTGCATATACAATGGTGGTCCCATAAGATTAGTACCATATAGCCTAGGTGTGTAGTAGGCTATACCATATAGGTTTGTGTTAAGTACGCTCTGTGATGTTCACACAATGACACTCTGTGGTGTTCACACAATGACAGAATCGCCTGAGGACACATTTTTCAGAACGTATTCCTGTCATTAAGCAATGCATGACTGTGTTACAGTTCTGAAAGCATTTAAAATAGTTCCTTTTTTGTTTTCTCTTGTGTAAAATTTTGAGTGAACTGAGATTAATAAAACATCTAACAACACATGGCCAAAAAAATTTCAATTCTTTTCTCTTGAGTTTTTGATGTAAAATTCTACCTATTTATAAAAGTACATGTAACTTGTTATTTGCCTAGGAAACATTGAATCCTGACATTTTTACTTCTAGTCTTTAGTTTTGGCAAATACTAGGCTATGTAGCTACTAATGCCCTTATGTTAATCTGGAGAAGTAGTTCTGTTCTTTCTTGTTTTTGAATCGTTTTGAAGTAGACTTGGAATCAGTTCCCTTCCTCTGCTGTCTTCTCCAACTTTCTTCACAACCAAGAAATGATCCTGTTTCATTTATGATTCATTTTCTTTTATGGTAAATCTTTAAGTATATTAGACATTAGGTAAGTTCACCAATTTTCTTTTCATATGACTAAATTTTAAGAAAAGTTATTATTTCTTTTCCATTATTATCACCATCCAAAGCAGCATTTATAAACACTACTGTGTACATTCCTTCTTTTCAACAGGCTAAAGTAAAAACTAGTTTTCTTTTTGAGGCAATCGCATTTGTGGTATTATATAAACTTCTTAGGCAGAGCCCTTCCTTTTAGAGTGGTATTTTCTCTTTTGACCAAATGCAAACTTTTCTTGAGAAATCAACTATTCTTCTTCTGGTTTTAATTTAACTTCTGTATTTGGTGAACTGCACATCCATCCCTGTGCCTTATTTTTATCATGGAAGCAAGAAAATTACCACTTGTCTCTTTTCCAAGCATTTCCTGGGATATTGGGGCATTACTAATACAATTTAGTTTGTTCTAGATCAGTGGATACCGGAACTGAGAGGAGGTATTTCTTACCTGATAATATGTGTGTGTTCCGATTCTGCTAATCCAGAAATCCAATCGCATTTGTTGAAAATCATCCTTAGTTGTTATTGGTTAGGGAGTCAACTCCCTATTTTAGTTGTTTTCTGAAATTCGGTCCCTAGATGTGCCTTAGATAGGGTAGAATTTTTACCTCTTTCAGAACACTGCTAAAGAAGTTTTCAACTGGAACATAGTCTGAAGAAGCACTGAGAGCAAAAAAAATTCAGAGTGGTGATTGGCCACCTCTGTTTGATTGACAGGTTGCAGGGAGAAACCCATTCGTTCTGGATTAATGGAACTGGAAAACAGAAAACAATTATCAGGTAAAAAAAACCTTTTCTTTAACCTTTGAAATTCACCATTTAAAAAATGAGTCAGACCATCAAGGGAATTTATTACCAAAAAGAAAAAAATTTAGTGTCTTGTGAGCAGAGATCTCTGGCTACTACTTCCAAGAATTACAAAAAAATCACTACAGTTACTACACATTGTCAGCCTTTGCTGAAAGGGCTTGGTTAAGTGCAGATAAGATGGAATGTAAGGCACAGTTACATTTTAAATCTGCGTTAAAGACGTGAAGCAGAATTCTATGGGTGGGGGAGATTAGTGTTGTTTTATTTCCTGAATTGTGTCTGGTCTATGGATAAGGAGAACACTTTGTTTTTCAAGGCTATTAATCTGGCACTTTTCATGAATAGTCACAATTTTTGTTACTCTGCTGTGTTTGTTATACTTATTCTTCACTTCATGTATACTTATGCATCTTTTGTATACTTACGTTATCTTCTATCATAAAATTTTAGTAACATTAGTGACCAGTTCTTTATATTTTAACGACGGTTTTCTGATTGTTGGTTAAATGCATTTCAGATTGAAGGCCAAGGCCATGGTGCAGTGTTCGACTGCAAATGCTCTCCTGATGGTCAGCATTTTGCATGCACAGACTCTCATGGACATCTTTTAATTTTTGGTTTTGGCTCCAGTAGCAAATATGACAAGGTAAAGTATGGTGACTATGTATCTTCTTATGCTTTCTTTTTTTTTAAATCCATGGATATTTAGGGGTTGTGTTTGTTTGGAAGTGGGTGAGAATCATTTATGCTTTTAGTGTAAAGCTTAAAGAATCATGTTTTAAATAGTTAAATGGAGAGTTATGTTTTGGAGAGGAAGGTGAAGATAGCAGTTGTTAAATCTCTTTTCTGTAATAGACATTAGATAATAATTAGATCTTATTTAATAATCTTTATATTTTAGAAGGAATAACTTTTTACTTAGCTTGCTAGAGCAGTCTAGATTACAGTTCTTCAGTTGGGGTATATAAGCTGGGAATGGGAGATGTTGTCCATAGAGGGACTCTTTGAAATTGTTTATTGGATGATATTCATTTATCTTGGGTACAAATCTGTGGCTTGCATGTGGTTCTCAAAAATGTATGGCTTACTGATGGTAGCTACTAATGTTTTTAAATATTAAAGATTCTAAGATCAGTGACTAAAAGACTTAAATTTCTTATTTGGGGTAGAGTGGTATAAAAGATAATCATAGTAAAAATTGAATAGTTCATAGTTTCATTTAAGAAATTCCAAATTAGCCAATAAAATTTTGAAGTTACAGATGTGTTAGGCTTGAGTTCATATTAATAATTTTATATTACTTCAAAACTTTTAGAGAGAATGGTTATTGACTCTTGGGAAATCATGTCATATTAATTTTTTGTATTATATAAACCACACTATACTTAAAGATTTTCTTTTTTTAAAGTTTTCATAAATTGTATAAGTGATTTCATTAAAGAGTTCAATTTGAAGACTAAATTCATTGAATGATTTCCCTTGGCAAAATGCTAAAACAAATAATGACCATATTTAATAATTTAAAAAATAAGATAAATCATGATAGCTCTCTCAAAGTAGTAGTACCACTGAATGATTTTTACTTAGATTTGATTTTATCATTGAATTTGAAATTATGTAATTTATTTTTAATGTTAGTTTTTTATATATACAATCTCTTCCTTGTTCCAGAGAAGATTCAAAGCAGCTGCTTTCCTGATCATAAAATTTAATGTAGAAAATATAAAGCTCTATTTACAATTAATTCAAGAGAAAAATATTCTTTTATATTATTGCTTAATACTATAATTTATATTAAAATGGTTACTTTCCATTAGAAATTTATAATAATAAATTTTTATTTTTTCAATCTTTTATGGACCTGTCTCTTTACAGATAGCAGATCAGATGTTCTTTCACAGTGATTATCGGCCCCTTATCCGTGATGCCAACAATTTTGTATTAGATGAACAGACTCAGCAAGCACCTCATCTCATGCCTCCCCCTTTTTTGGTTGATGTTGATGGTAACCCTCATCCATCAAGATATCAGAGGTTAGTTCCTGGTCGTGAAAATTGCAGGGAGGAGCAGCTCATCCCTCAGATGGGAGTAACTTCCTCAGGTAAATGCTTTTTTTCATGTACAACCAAATTTTTCTTTTCCTACTGATGTCTTATAAAATTGCTAATTTGTTTTTGAACATATGAGAAGTAAAATAGTTTTTTCATACTTCTCTAAAGTTCTTCGAATAATGCTTAGATGTTACAAGATAATTAAGGAACATTGGAGATTTAAGGCAATAGTTTTGGTCTATATCAATTTATAACCTCTGGGGACTGATAGGATGTGTTCTTGTATTTGGTATGAGATCAGTTAGTTTATTTATTTATTCATTCAACAACATATATTGAAAATCTTCTCTGTCCCTGATACTTACTAAGCTACAGAGTGAGATAGATTAATAAACATAGTTATAAAGAAATACATAGTTAAAAATTGTGGTAAATGTTATTAAAAGGAATAACAGTATCACATAAGAGAGAGAATGTGAGACTAGACAGCCTACTCACATTAAAGATTGATTTAAGAAGTGACCAACTTTTAGAAGTTTATAAGTAAGATAGGAATGAAAAGTTGAGAGCTGTTTTAGTGAAGAAATGGAGGGTGCAAGTCACATTAGTTGAAGAATTGAATGGAAGTTGAAATGGAGACACGGTTTACAGACTTCTTCCCCACTTTTGACAAGAATTATAGGACTAATTTATTAAGTGTAAGTAATGGAGAGATTCTATAAAGAAGGTTAAACCAGTTTTGGAATTACGAATCTTTCTGTTATATTTTAGACTAGAAAAATGTTTATGAAAATGTTTTCTAAGTTGTGGACTCTAGCATAATGAACAAAACTTCTAAGATATGATTAACATATATAGGATATAACATATAATGAGTAACTTTGAAATAATGAATTTAGAATCTGTGAGCAGCACAGAAAAATCAATCTCATCGCATTATAGAGAAACCTGCCTTTTATTTTTCTTAAAGGATTGGGCATGAGTTTGCGATGAAGATGGACATATTGGATAGGAAAAGCTGCTATTGGAACTAGGCGTGCCCACTCAGGATGGAGGTGGGGGAAAGCATTAGAGGAGTCATCTCTGCTGCTACTTGTAGAGGGTAGTACAGTCCCCCAGACCTGAATATCGGGAGGATGTGAAACTAAAATCTTTCAGTACATGAACACAGCATGAACTCAAAGAATCTATGAATGCGTAGTATTCAAGAAGTCTAGGCAGGTATTCAGATTAGAGAAGTCTCAGTTATTAGAGAACTCTTGATTATAGGACTGAAATTAAGGTAAATGTCTTCAGTCTCTTGGAGGGGAACTGACAAGAATCAGATCTTGCCCAGGTCTCAAAATAGATACTTAGGCTGGGATTTCAGGCATAAGGAAATAAGGAAAGGTTTCATTTATTAAAATATCAATGCTACTTAATTATTGTGATTATTAGTTTTTCTGCCATTTAATAGTTTATAAGGGCTTTCATAAATAATGTCATTTAATCTTTCTCTCTATAGTTATCCCAAAGCTAGAAGTTGAGAAAATGAAAATTTAATAACATTATGTTTTGTTCAAGTTAAAGTATATGGACTCAACAGGGACTCAAACCCAGCCCTGACTCCCAGTCCATTGTTCTTTCTTCCATACTTAGCTGCCCATAGAGTAAAAAGTAGACTTGATCTTGAAAATGAATGGATGCCGGTTATTAGTACAGGACCACAAGAGAATCCATAGCAATAATTATGGGTTCAAAGTGAGTCACAGAATTTTTAAGTGTTCTACGTCACAGAATTCAGGGTAAACATAATTTTTTTCATTATTTTAGACTTACCAAATACAGAAATAGAATGAAAGAACTTTTTGAAAAAGTTCTTTTTGAAAAAACTTGAGCATCATTTTTAACTATATTTGCAGATCAGGATCTATAATAAAATTTATTTTGGGAAATCCCTTAGAGTTAGGTAAAAATAGATGATGGCTATGGTAATAATAAGTTGGCTTGAATGCAGTTTTGTTATATTTATACCGAACAATACACTTTAAATGTAAGCACATTTAAAGCACTCAGTCGTAAACTTGGTCTATCCCAGATTACCCTTCGATGTTCAAACATGGGATGTTTTCCCAGCAGCATACCAGGAAAGAAGCATCCACAGGCATTTTAACTTTTACCTCTGTATGCTTTTACCTCTTTCTAGCTTTGTGACCGTGGACAAGTTATTTTATCCAGTTGAATTTTAGTTTTCTCTTATAAAATGAAATCACATTATGTGCATAATTTCCTCTTTCCTTACAACTTCCTTACTACTACTACTACCAGTTCATTTTAGGACATCCTTTGTATCTGCTCTTCCTAGCCCGCTTTAAAAGTCTGATCTCATCAAATCCTCTTGTATACCCACACACCTGATACTAATTTTTCCCTTCTCTACTCTCATGGCAATGCTTTCAGATATCTCATAACACTTATACATTTTTTTATTCATTCAGCAGGATTGTACATTTTTATATGCCTAGCGTTGTGCTAAGATTTAGAATTAGAATATTAAGATAAAGAAGACAATCCATGCTTTGGTGGAACTAACTAGTGTGCTTCCTTTCTGTATTGGGCTGAGTACTAAGACATGTATACAGTAGTCCCTTCTTATCTGCAAGGGATACGTTCCAAGAACCCCCAGCAGATGCCTGAAACTGTGGATAGTTCCAAACCCTGTATGTATTATGTTTTTTCCTAGACTTAAATACCTATGATAAAGTTTGATTTATAAATTAGGCACAGTAAGAGATTAATGTTGCTTTGAGGCCATTATTAAACAAGCACTGCGATAGCAAAACAAACAGTCGATCTGATAACTAAGATGGCTGCTGAGTGACTAACAAGCAGTAGCCTGTACAGCGTGAATGCGCTGGACAAGAGGATGGTTCATGTCCAGGGTGGGACGGAGCAGGACACTGCAAGATTTCATCACACTAGTCAGAACAGCATGCATTTTAAAACTTACAAAGTTTTATTTCTGGAATTTGCCATTTAATACTTTTGAACCACGGTAGGCCACAGGTAATTGAAACTTCGGAAGGCAAAACCGCAGATAAGGGAGGACTACCATATGTTGTTTGAGGAAGTAAAAGAAGATAGCAGCTAATTCTTTCAGGGGTAGTCTGGAAAGATTTCACAGAGGAAATATCATGGAGGTGACATTTTAGTTGGTGCTTGAAGGATAAGTTGATGTTTATCACATTTATACTTGAAAGGGGAGTATTGTGGTCAAAAGCTCCAAAGCATAAAGGTGTTTATCGTATTAGGAAAGTAGAACAGTCAAGTAATCCCATATGACTGGTACGAATGAGAGTGGATGCTGGAAAAGGAGGATGGGTTAAAACACCACATTCCTTCCTACCTCAGAGCCTTTGTTACCAACTCTTGCCTTCCATCTGGAGTGTTCTTTTTCTAGCTGTTTACATGGATGATAAGTTGTTAGCTCAAATGCTGCCTTCTCAAGGAGGGCTTTTTTGACTTCTGAGTCACCATAGGTAGTTCCCATTCTCTCTTCCTTCCCCATTTTCTCTTTCTCATCATCATCTTTATTTTAACAACATTTTTCACAATCTGCTTTTATGTATGGGTTTATTGTTCAGTTTCCCCATTAGAATGTTAGAGCCCTGAAGGTCAGGGACTTGAATGTCTTTTATTCGCCTCTGAATCCTCCGTTCCTTGGCATAGTTTCTAACACATAGTAGACACTCAAGAATTTGTTGAATAAATGAAGCAGTAAAGTTCTTTGAGAAGATGGGTAGTCACATTTGCCTTTTTAAAAGAAACTATGATGTAAAATGAAATCCGACTTTTATGACTTACTAGATATATGATTGAGTAGTTACTTTGGTTTTCTCGTCTATAAAATGGAGTTAATAATACATACCTAACTGAATTATTGTAAGGCTTATATAAGTGCCTGAATCATGGTAAACACTTAGTAAAAGGTATCATCATCACCATTGTTATTTTTAATAAATTAAGATTGAGGGGGGCATGTTTCCTTTTTTTTTTTTTACTCTCATCATTTACAGTTGATCATTTTAGGTCTTTTACTCAAACAAAATTTATATTTAATTCTGGTTCAGAGTCAAGCTAATGAGTAAAATGGTTTGAGTAGTTGACTACAGTATCCTTAGCATTTTGTGTGGTATTACATAGGACTGAACCAAGTTTTAAGTCAGCAAGCAAACCAGGAGATCAGCCCACTGGACAGCATGATTCAAAGACTACAGCAGGAGCAAGACCTGAGACGTTCTGGTGAGGCAGGTGTCAGTAATACCAGCCGTTTAAGTAGAGGTAAGCAGTGATTCTTTTAAGTGAAATATTAAACCAAAGCAGTCTAAATCTCCAATAGTAGAAAAGCGTTTAAAGAAATTATGGTATATCCATAAAATGAAATATTAGGCTGCCAAAATGATTGTTTTTGAAGAGTATTTATGACCTAAGAAAATGTTCATAATATAAGGTTTCAAACTGCAGATGAGTTTTTTAATATGTGTATTCTTCCAAATTTTCTATAGTAAACATGTAGAACTTAGAAAAACTTTAAAAATAAATTTATTCAATAATTTATGAAATAAATTCAAAGCCACACTGTCAAACATCTCATCACTCTTATTGTTGTATATTACTAAATTTTAAGAGAAAATTTAAAGCAAATTTATGAACCATAAATGTTCTTCGGTTTGTCTGGTTTTACTTCTTATAAAGTTTTCCCAAAAATACATAGCATTTTTTTTTTAAAGTAGTGATTTCACATCTTTGGGACTTAACAGTTAGTAGTTTTGATTCATTAACTTATCTAATCTGCTGAATAACCATGTTTTATGTCTGTTAAACTTTTTTACCTGTAGTGTAGTTCCTGATTTGATAACTTAATTATTTATACAGTATGAAGTTTCACATGGACTATTTTTTTCTGTTATGAGCTAATGGAGAAGTGTCTCTAAATAGAACTTACTATGTTAATTTTTTTGCTTAGGTTCTGTAAGTTCTACCTCAGAGGTTCATTCACCACCAAATGTAGGACTAAGGCGTAGTGGACAAATTGAAGGTGTACGGCAAATGCACAGCAATGCACCAAGGAGTGAAATAGCCACAGAGCGGGATCTTGTCGCTTGGAGTCGAAGGGTGGTAGTTCCTGAGCTGTCGACTGGTGTAGCCAGGTAAGGGGAGTTGTGAATTTTTGTGTGTCACAGTTGTTTGTGTTCATTTGGAATTATAGTCTTCAAAGTACCGTTTCAGCTCTATAATTTATTTTAAATTTATCTGAAGAGCCTGTGTTTTAAACTATTCATGATTCTGAAGAAAAATTAAATTTCAATTTATGGTCTTTTCTAGAATGAGTCATGTAGATGATATGAGGGGGGATGTGTTAAGGTGAATGGGGGAAATCATAAATTTAGATTGACTAAATATGAGATTTTATCGAGTAGTATATTTAAATCTTTGTCTCATTTGACTGTATCTTAAAACATTTCATAAAGTTTGTTATAATTTTTTATGGATTTTACTAATCATTCACACCGTATCAGAGGCATAGTGAAAGTATATTATATTATTTATTGGTATACATTATATAAATATATTTATATATTAAAATGATTCTTTTTTATATTTAAAAGTATACATATATAAATTAAAAAGTATTGATTTGATGTAATCCTTTCTCAAGGTCTGTGTTATGAAGAAACTTTATATCCAGTTCCTTTTGATTCTTTTTTTTTTTTTTTTTTTTGGTGAGGAAGATTGGCCCTGAGCTAACATCTGTGCCCATCTACCTCTGTTTTCTATGTGGGATGCCACCACAGCATGGCTTGATGAATGGTGTGTAGGTTCGTGCTTGGGATCCGAACCTGAGAACCCTGGACCACTGAGCAGAGTGTGTGAACTTAACCACTACGCCACTGGCCCAGCCCGCCCTTTTCATTCTTTAGTAATGAAATATTCATGAATGTGGTCCATATGAACCCAACTAATACTGACTACATACTATAATACTGTACTATAATCAAAATGTGAATTTGATTTTAGGATTTTCTAGTTCTTAAACTCAAAAGATAATAGTAATTAAGTAGTTAAATATTTTTAATCTGAATGTTTATATAGATTATACTTTTTGATTGGACAACACTTCAAATTTGTTTTAGGATTTAGGATTAAATATATACCTAAAGTATAAATTTAAACAATAACTTTTTATCTAGTGAGAAATACACCCAGATGTTCTTTTTTTTTTGTTTTTTTAATTTTTATTTATTTATTTTTTTTCCTCCAAAGTCCCAGTAGATAGTTGTATGTCATAGCTGCACGTCCTTCTAGTTGCTGCATGTGGGACGCGGCTTCAGCATGGCCAGAGAAGCAGTGCGTCAGTGCGCGCCCAGGATCCGAACCCGGGCCGCCAGCAGCGGAGTGCGAGCACTTAACTGCTAAGCCACGGGGCCAGCCCCCAGATGTTCTTAATAAAACAAAAAACAGCGTATTTTTTGCCTACTTTTTAATTTTAACGTTAAGGTTAGTAGGGGGTACGATAAATAACACCCACCTTTTCAACAATAGTTCTGAAGTAATTGAAAACACAAAAGAATAGACAGATAAGAAATCAGAATATTACTATTTTTTATTGATACAGCTGCAAAGAATGTGGCTTTTATCTGCAAGAAAGTGTGCTTCCTAATACTGAAGCCCAAACACAGGTAGCACTGGGCTACAGTATTTCTCCCCATGTGAGGCAGCTGTATAGAATGTATACTTGGTAAGCAATGGCATGGGTCTGGGCCACGCTAAGCTAGTTTTTCCCTCCGGAGCACACCAATTAATGAGTTCAGTGCTCCCCTGAAGAAGGATGAGTAAGGAGGTGAAAAGAGGCCAGGAGTGGGTTCTGAGTTGGTGGTAGAGGTCCCTGCGCTTGGAGGGAAACATGAGTGGGGAAGATTTGTTTCTTTCCAAATGTTCTTCACCTTTTTCTCTCTTTTTCATTGGGCTTAACCTTTGAGCCTGTGGTCAAGCGAGGTTGTGGCCATTACTTCACAGGGTATTCGACCTTCCTGGAGCTTTGCCCCAATACTTAGTACTCTTCCTTTGAGAATCTTCCTGGAGTATACTCCCTGGTAGGTAGTTTAAAGTTTGCCCCTATAAAGCTTTTAAATGGGTCAGACTAGTACATTAATTAAAATTAAATCTCATTGCATAGTGAGCAAAGGACTAATATGTATAATACATGAAGAACTCTCGAAACTCAACAGTGAACATAACAGTCCAATCAGAAAATGGGCAAAAGACATGAACGAACGTTTCATCAAAGGATATACAGATGGCAGATAAACAGGAAAAAATATTCAACATAAGGCAAATGCAAATTAAAGCTACAGTGAAATAATCTTTCTATACCTATCAGAAAGGCTAAAATATAGTGACAGCACCAAATGCAGGGGAGGGTGTGGAGAAACTGGATCACTCATGCATTCCTGGTGGGCATGTAAAATGATGCAGCCACTCTGGAAAACAGTGTGGCACTTTCTTAAAAACCTAAGCATCTGTGATCCAGTGCTTGCACTCTTGGGGATTTATCCCAAAGAAATGAGAACTTATTTTCACACAAAAACCTGTACAAAGCTTTATCTGTAATAGCCAAAACCTAGAAGCAACGCAGATGTCCTTCAGTGGGTACATGGTTCAACCAACTGGTATATCCATACCATGGAATACTACTTTGCAATGAAAAGGAACAACCTGTTGGTACAACAACTTGAATGAATCTTGAGGGAATTAAGCTGAGTAAGAAACCAGTCTCAAAGGTTACATACTGTATTATTCCATTTATGGACTATTCTTGAAATGACAAAAGTATAGAGATGGAGAACAGATTAGTAATTGCTAGATGTTGGAGGGAAGAAGGGCTGAGGAGAAGAAGAGAAAGATGGGTATGATTAAAAGGGCACTACAAGGGATCTTTGTGGTGATGGAAATGTTCTATATCTTAACTGGGGTGATGGATACACAAACCTACAGTTGATAAACTTGGATAGAATTAAATACACACACAAGTAGAAGTAAAATTCTGAATAATATCAGTGGGTTGTATCAGTGTCAACAGCCGGGTTGTGCTGTTGTGCTATAGTTTTGCAAGATATTACCATTGAGGGAAACTGGGTAAAGGATGAAAGGAATCTCTGTTTTATTTCTTACAACAGTATGTGAATCTACAATTATCTCAGTAAAGAGTTTAACTGAAAACAAACAAGAACAAAAAATTGTCAAGAGCAAACAAAAAATTAAATCAAGGCCATTCTTTTCACAAGATTTAAATTTACTCGTTTTATTTCCCATTCAGAATTATAACCAGCTGCATTAGAGATTCTGCAGTTAATTAAAATGACAACATTAATATATTCTAGTAATAAAATATCAACATTACAGAGCTGTTCCAAGTTTGAATATTAACTCCCTTCCAACTGTGAAATCTCCAGGGAAAAATTAAAATTCAAATGTTAAATGCTGTTGGAATTCAAAAACTTTAGAGTTGTAAGGAATTAAAGTAAAAATAAAATTCTCTTGTCCTTCTGAGTTCGGCTTGCTTGAAATTAAAGTTCATAACTAATGTTCCTGAACTTTTTCTGTTGCTCGGTTTCGGCTTGATGCCTGGATAGAGTTGAAGTTTCTTCAGTAGCTGAAGCCTGACCTGCCTCTCGCTGGGGAGAGTGTAGTTCTTTCAGGGCATCAGGAGTTACATTAGTTCAACCTCAACGTTCTCTTGTGCCTCTTTTTTTTTTTTTTTTTTAAAGATTCCAGCTATCTGTGTGGTACACAAGATTATCACAGACGGCATAAGCCCTACACTGACATAATTTTAAAAAATAAGTAAATCCAATTTCTAACCCTTGGAGCAGTTACCTTAGGAATAACTATGTTCCCAGAACCTGATACTTGATTTTCCAAAGGTCACAGCAGAAACAGTAGTATGAAGTGCAAGTAGATAGAGTCTGTCTTTCCAGTATTCCAGTCGTTTAATGCCAGAAGTCCAGAGCTCAGACTCAGAAATCTTTATCACATGCCTCCATCTGAAAAGAAAACACCAGGAGTAGCATTCCCTCTTTGACACCTCGCCTTCCTTTTGGAGAGATCAGTTGTAAATATCCTAGATTAACATGTATATGTGGCTTTTAATTCTCTTTCAGTAGGCAAGAGGAATGGAGAACTGCAAAGGGAGAAGAAGAAATAAAGACTTACAGATCAGAAGAGAAAAGAAAACACTTTGCTATTCCAAAAGAGAATAAGATACCCACTGTCTCAAAGGTAAATAATAATTACTTTGATATTTAATAATTGTTTCATAAGTGTAATGACCATTTTAAGGCCCTTTTGTAATTAAAAATGTTAACATCTTAAGCAGGACATTTAATTAATGAAATAAAATTAATATAGTTAATTCTTGATTATCTCTTTGGATTATCTATTGTGTTTACCATTTAAAATTTTTAATTTTGCGTTTCCTGCCTTCTAGCATACCTTTTCCCCAAATGCCCGTTGTTATGCACATTAAATCTAATAAGTGGTGTCATGAGCCTAAGCAAGATCTTTTTTTAGTTCTGCCATTGGTTGCACACTTTAAAACAGTGTTTTGGGGTTTTTTTAATCCTCTGCATTTTTTTGCTGTTTTGCACTATTTGTTATTGTGGATAATAATCAACTATGCTGCTAGAAATAATAGTTGTTATTTTCTCCATTAAAACAGGTAAATTGTCTCTGCTAGTTTGCCCTGTTGGTTTCTCTGTCATCCTACTCTGGAAAAACTTTTGGATCTGGTGAATTTCAATTAGTCATGCCCTAACCTGGAGAGATACATGCTTACCTCCTTGAGCGTCAAGGGATCAGTTATTCACTCTTCCATTTCTTTTTTTTTTTTTAATCATCTTAGCTTGAAAGCTTCAGAGCCTTAGAATCTGAAATTGAGAAAAACTATATAGAACTTCTTTTCAGTTACAAGTCACTATCTAAGTAGTGATCCCAACAAAGAAAAGATAATGGGTCTCTTGACCCAGCCTTGTGCTCCTTCCTTTTTATTTGAGTTTCTTAAACCTTCTAAATTAATCTTCTTTTCTAGAGCTCTTTTTTCTGTTTTGTCACTCTTTAAAGGACTCAAGTAGTCCTTTGCTATTTTATGTTTTCCTTTACTAAGGATTTCATACCCTAGGGTCACAATAGGACCCCACACAGAATTCTTGTTAGTATAATCTGAAATAATCTCTTGTTTTTGTTTTTTTTTTGGTTGTTGCTGGGTTTTTTTCATGGTGGCTGGAAAGCATACCCTTTTTTGTGTCCTTTGCTTAGAATCCAAGATTGTGAGGACGCAAGCTCATGTAATGATGGTCTGAGTTTGTATTGCTTCCACTTTTATGAATGAAATATGGTAATATCTATTAAAATGAAAAGAACGTGCTTATCTTTTAATCCAGTAGTGGTACTTCAAAGACTTTTTTTTTAGAAAGAAAAGTACTGATATGAGTGTATATACGTGTGTGTGTGTGTGCACGCTTGCCTGGGCAGATGTTTATAGTGTCCCTGGGAGAAAAAAATGGAATAACTTTAGTGTTCATTGGTGGAATAGAGGTAGGATGTCATGACAGCTATATACACGTGGAATATTATACAGCTTTTTTAAAAAGTAAGAGCTTGCTCCACTGCATTGGAGAAATGTTCATGATGTATTTATTAAGTGAAAAAAGCAAGTTAAAATGGTAATGTTTATAATATGACCTCATTTTTGCTTTTCAGATTTTATGAGAATGGAGAAAGGTTTGAAAGCACACCTACTAGGCTACTAACATTGATAATCACAGATGTACAAATTATGAGATGCCATCTTTCGTGTCAGAGTTACAATGTTTTTTCTTCTAATAATAGATGGTACTTACTGTGCAGGTGGGAAATATAAATTAATACAAAAAAACTGTTTAGAAAGCGGTTATAAAATTGATTTTTGGCACGAGGTTTGGTCCCAAAATTACAGAGGCTTAAATGAGGTGGAAATATATTTCTCTCTGATGTAAAAACCTCAGTAGGTGGTTCAGGCCTGATATGATGCCCTCAGTGTTGAGAACTGAAGCTCTTTCATTTTTCTGATCCTCTTGTGTGTTGAATTGGACCTCACACCTCAAAATATCAGCATCTGCACTTAAGGCTGCAGGATGGAGGATCAAGTCAGTGAGGAAGGTGCAGAGGGCACATAGGCTCTCCTGAGGAAGGTTCTTTGAGGTTGCTCTGCAGCATTGTGCCAGGTGTCCCATTGGCCAGAGTTTAGTCACATGAAACTCCGACAAAGAAAATGTTATTTTTTGTGCAAGAAGGGGAGAACAGATCTTGGTTGGTAACCAGCTTTCCCTTCTACTGCATTATTTATTAAGGCATTAAAAACATTTATGTCCTTTGACTTAGAATTTACCCTGAAGAAATAGAGTAGTTCCCCCTTATCCGCAGGGGATATGTTCCAAGACCCCCAATGGACTCCTGAAACCGCTGTTAGTACTGAACCCTGTATATACTACGTCTTCTCCTTATGATAAAGTTTAATTTATAAATTAGGCACACTAAGAGATTAACAATAACTAATAATAAAATAGAACAATTATAACCATATGCTGTAATAAAAGTCACCACAAATCTTAACAACCTTCAGCATACAACTTTTTTCCTTCCTTATTAAGTTGAGAACTTGCACTTTTCACTTAAAAGAAGCACTTTATGGCTTGTCTTTGGCATATCTGAATTGCCAGCATCGCTGCTCTTGCGCTTTAGGGCCATTATTAAGTAAAAGAAAGCTTACTTGAACACCAACACTGTGATACCACGACAGTCATCTGATAACCAAGATGGCTGACTAAGTGGCTAAGGGCTGGTAGCATATGCAGCATGGATACCGTGAACCAAGAGATGATTCACACCCCGGCTGGACGGAGTGAGATTGTTATGCTACTCAGAGCTGCTCGAGATTTAACACTTATAAAGTGTTTATTTCTGGGATTTTCTATTTAATATTTTCGGGGCATAGTTGACTGTGGATAACTGAAACCGTGGAAAGTGAAACCATGGATAAGGAGGAACTACTGTATAAAATTGTGCATAAAGCTTTACCAAATGGAACAAATTGCAATTTTTAATGAAATGGATTTGAGTAGGTAAATATATTTATGTTGAAGGAGCAAGGTACATTACATTCTTAACAACAGATTACTCAGAATTTGTGAGATTATACTTAAACATTATTGCCTTTTATACATGTTTCCCAAAATTTTTAAAAATAGAAAACTCTTCATTAATCCTTTTAGAGAGAATCTGTGTAGAGTAAATCTTGTGTCCTTGTATGTGAAAATGTCTTTTATTTCACTTGGCTATTACAAGTGGCTGCCCTGACAAGAGAAGGGCTTAAGTACAGGGAAGAGTTCCCGTGACAACTCTGGTTTTGGGGAAGGAACTGAAGAGTGGAGGTCGATGGAGGAACAGGGAATGGTTGAACTCAGATTGCAACATTATAGGTCTTGAGGTGCATACCCTCCCTCCCTACACATCTAGAATCTTTTTTAGGAGTGCAAAGCAAGACCTAGATTTTTACTCTTCTTTTCTCTCCTTCCCCAATGCAGTATTACCACCCAACACACTTGTGAAGCCAGAGCATGATGGGGGAAGAAAAGCTACACTACACATGGACCTAACACGATATACACAGGAAAACTAATGGGATGAACAGAACAGATATTCAGAATAGCATATTCTTAGAGAGATAGGAGGGGATATGGGAAACATGATGTAACAACAAGCAGTTCTGGAGAGGATCCTTTTAGAGATATTGGGATGAAACATATTGTTATTGAAGTAAAGAACTCAATGAATGGGTTGAATAGAGGAATGTATAATACCGGAAAATGAGTGAGTAAGCTGAAAGGACAAGTTGAAGAAGTCTCCCAGAATGCATCAACAAGAGATAAAATGATGGAGAGAATGAGGGGCATGTAAACACATATATTTACGTGTATGTATGTAATATGTGTATGGAGAGAGGGGGCACGGTTAGTGGTAGTAGCATAAGCATTATTTAATCACAGTCTGTGAAGAAGAGAAAATATGCGGAATGGGAAAGAGTTAAAAAAAATAATGCACCAGAATTTCCTAGAATTAGCCCCTGGCTAGTGTGTCAAACAGGACAAATAACGATAAAATAAAATATTTTACACCTCAACCTAAGCACATTATACTGAGATTTAAAAACACCTAAAACAAAGAGAACATTCTGCAAGTTTGTGGAGAGAAAAAGAGCATCAACTTAAAAAGAATACGAACTTGACTTTTTATTTGAAGTTAACAAAATGGATTCCCTGAGCCACCCTACGGCCAGAAGAAATACGAGGAAATCGTTAAAGAATCGGCATCCACGTTAAGAAAATTGGCAGCAACCCTGACACAGTAGCCAATTTCTGGTTAGAGTGGTGACAACACACTGGAGCCAAGTGCTAACATGCCTTGGTTCAGGGGATGGAAAGTCAACTGTAAAGATGGCAGTGCCAGTAGAACCATGCTGCTTGAAGCTCTGAGTTGCATCCTGCCACCAACCCGATCAACTAACAAGACCTTGTGCCTGCCTCTCCAGGACATCCACAAAATCGGTGGTATTGGAATGGTCCCTGTGGGCCAAGTGGAGACTGGTGTTCTCACACCCAGCGTGGTGGTCACCTTTGCTCCAGTCACCATTACAACTGAAGTAAAGTCTTGAAATAAAACCTGAAGGTTAGAGTGAAGCTCTTCCTGGGAACAACATGGGCTTCAGTGTCACAAATGTGTCTGTCAAAGATGCTTGTCATGGCAACATGGCTGGTGAGAGCAAAAATAACCCACCAATGGCAGCAGCTGGCTTCACAGCTCAGGTGATTATGCTGAGCTATCCAGGCCAGATCAGTGCTGGCTGTACACCTGTGCTGAATTGTCACACAGCTCACATGGGTTGCAAGTTTGCTGAGCCGAAGGAGACAATTGATCATCATTCTGGGAAGAAGCTAGAAGATGGCCCCAAATTCTTGAAATCTGGTGATGCTGCTATGATTGCTAGCAAGCTCATGTATGGTGAGAGCTTCTCTGACACTCCTCCTCTGGTTCGTTTTGCTGTTTGTGAGACAGCATGAGACAGACAGACAGTGGACAAGAAGGCTGCTAGAGCTGGCGAGGTCACCAGGTCTGCCCAGAAGGCTAAGTGATTATTATCCCTATGACCTGCCACCTCATCTTAATCAGTGGTGGAAGAACAATCTCAGAAGTATTTGTCTCAGTTGGCCATTTAAGTTTAATAATAAAAGACTTTGTCATGACAACAATGCATTGTAAAACCCTGAAGGAAAGGAGAATGTTTTGTGGACAATTTGTTTTTTCTGTGTGTGGCAATTTTAAAGTTAATTGGTTTCTACGTCAGTACTTTTTAATGGAAACAACTTGACCAAAAATCTAGCACAGAATTTTGAGACCCATTAAGAAGAAGTTTTAATAGTAAGGAAAAAAAAAAGATAAGTTCAAAGGAATGAGGATGTTATAGGTTCAAGGTTGTTTTCTGTGAACACTTTAAAGATAGTGCTCCTTTTTCTTATGATATTTACTGTGTGATACATTGTATGTATAAGTCTGGAGTCAATCTAACTCTTTTTTTGAAGGTAATTTTATTATTTTCCCTTTATTTTTTATATTCCCCAGTTTTGTTTTTTTCCAGGTGTAAATTCTTGTGTTTGTTGAGTTTGTTCATCTCTGTCATCATGTTGGACTTGCTCAGTTTTTTTGATGATTGTTAGTTGTGTTCTCATCTGTTGCAGAGGACTTTTCCCACATTCATCTCCAGCAGAAGAGATAGCCAGCCACTTACTATCCTCGCCTCATAGTGGCAAGGTAGTTTCGTGGTCACTGTTTTGGTTTCCAGTTTGCTTCTGCATATTATTATATACGCATCCTAGCCCGTGGTCCTCTTGCTTACATCTGTTATATAGGTTTGGTGTGGGTACAGGAGAGGTCAGTGTTAGACTTAGTCTGTTATTATGAATGCTTAAATCTGTGTCACTTAGGAAAAAAAATTTGTATAACTTATCAATCAGTAAGTGATTTTCAGCATATTGCAAATCTGTTATTTAACCTGATGTAATTTAAAAATATTTGAGCTGGTGCTGCAATCTAGTCCACTTATGTGATATCTTATATATGAATGAATTTTTTATAATTACAAAATATACAACTTTTAAAGTAAAAAGCATGCTCTGTAAGCATACTGTAAATAAATTTACTTTTTTACAGAATCATGCTCATGAGCATTTCCTGGATCTTGGAGAATCCAAAAAGCAGCAGGCAAATCAACACAATTATCGTACAAGATCTGCATTGGAAGAGACTCCTAGACCTTCGGAAGAAATAGAAAATGGCACTAGTTCTTCAGATGTAAGATCTCAGCACATTCATAAATTTCTGTTTCCATTTTTATTTTTTTTTTTCATATGACTTTCATTCTTTACAGTAATTGATACATTTATAGATGTTGCTCAAACATGGTATTTCTAGGTCTTACAAAACTAGTGATAGCTTCCATTTACTGGAGACCTACTGTGTCTGTTCTAGGCATGGCACATGCATTCATAATATCAAATCCACAAAAAAAATGCATATGAATTAATTATTCCCATTTTATATGTGAGGGATCTGAGGTTCAAAGATGTTTAGATTACACATTTACCTAACTATCAAATGGTAGAGCAGGGGTTAAACACAAGTTTCTTTTACTCTAAAGCCAAGCTTTTTAAATGGTACCATGAAGCTCTAGTCTGTAATTATAGTAACTAATCAGTATGCATTTGGCAATTTTGGTTAGTTTTTAATCTCTTTACCAGTTTATGGCTTTCTCAATGTAATTTTTTAAATAGTCCTTATGTATAATTATTTCCATAAATATTGTTCTACTAAATTATATATTCTTTCAGCAAGGCAATCAATTTGCAGTCACAATCAATCTTATTCAGCACTTAAAACCATCTCCCTTCTCTTCCCCCACTCTGCCTCTCACCCCTTCCCCCACAGGTCGAAGACTATGATCTTAGATATTGACTGCTATACATTTTTTTTTTTATCCATTTCGCCCTCCTCCCTCCCCTCTTTGCTATACATTTTTGAAGCCATGTTGTGCTTTGTAGTATTAGACATACATGGGAATTCTCCGAGTGTATTCTGTATGGACAGGGCAGTATTAACTCAAATTGAGAGTATTCTAATCACAATTTAAAATTTAATCTCCAGTGGCTTTGGGTCCTGGTATAGCCAGGTCAAGATGATATGTCCAATCTGGTAAAAAGACCAAATTATGTAATTACTATTAATTACATGAACTTGATACATGACAATTTCACTATACACATAAAACAAAATATATGTGGGCTAATTATTTGCCTTATAAAATGTTTATTTTTGGAAGATTTATAGTATGATTCTTTTAATAAATTTCTATAAAATATTTTAAATATGATTCAGCTTATTAGAAACATATATTTCCAGGTATATCTGTTATGTAAGAAAAATTTACTAAATCCTTCATTTGGCTTCAGAACTAATTTGTTTATGCTTTAACATCATTTTAGAGCAGTTGAATAAATTTCTAGAGGAGTACATTGAGAACAGAATATCACCTTTGGCACAATATATTAATTAATGGAAAGAATCCTGGTTTTTTGTTGTTGTTCAAATATTTCGTAGTTCCGTATAGTTAGTTACTCTTTATTTTGTATTTAGAGTGTAGGAGTATGTTTCTTTTCTTCTCCTTTAACAAAGTAATATACTAAGGGTGGGAATAATCAGATCATTTGTTTAGATTTTTTTCAGTTATATTGACAGAGATTAAATTTGTCTAAATAAAACCTACTATTGGATTTTGATCTTTTTATATTTGCTTAGTTTTCAAAACTCTGTGGAATAGTTATATAATACACATTCTTTATTAAGACATCAAAAAAAGGAAAACTTTTCTCTCGAAATATACTATTTAATCAGTAAAGGAACACATCCTGTTATACTCTTGAAAAATGATCTGAATCTGCTTGCCAAGTAATAACACTGAACTATTCTTGAGGAGAGTGGTCTAAGCTTTGGGGTAAAATGACCCGAGTTCAGATCAGGCTCAGTTAATTGCACTGCCTTGGGTAAATTTCTTAACTTTTTAAAGCTTTAGTTTCTTTTCTTTATTTGCTCTTTATCACCTGCAGTGTTTTGTCCAGATCAAATGGGAAGATATATATAAAGTGCTTAGAATAGTTTCTGATATACAATAAAAGCTTAGTTAATGTGAGCTGGTATTTTTGTTGGAGCATAAAATTTATTTGAGCAAGGGAGAAGTTGTATAAGATTTTGTGACCAAAAAACCCCCAATTTTTATAAAGAAAATGGTTTCATAGGAATATGCTACTTTGACCAGTGAATATTTACTAAAGAGAAGCAGTGTTTGGGTAGTTTTTAATTCTCTACTATTTGGATAAAGTAATACTAGAGTTGGAATATCCTTTTTTTGTTTGATAAAGCTGTTTTAATAATAATAATAAACAAAATATAAAAGTTCCTAACTTTAAGCTTCTCAAAGCATCTATAGAAATTTCAAGAAAGCTTAAATTTTAGAAAGGCCCAAGAATTAAAAATTAATTTCAAATATTAACTGTGGAATTTGGTATCATCCAATCTAGAATGTCTGGTATGAGGCTTGAAGAGAAAAACAACAACAAACAAAATGTGTTAATCATCCAAGAGATTGCTCTGAATCCAATATTAATAAGTATTATATCTTTGGATACATTTAATAATTATTAAATACCCTTAATTTTTTTGTATGAAAATTTATGACCTTTTACAACTAATTTAAATCAGATTTTAATTTAAATATCCTAGTTTGGTTGGTACTACAGTCATACGCCACATAATGACATTTTGGTCAACAACGGACTGCATATACTAGGGTGTTTCTGTAAGATTAGTATCATGTAGCCTGGGTGCATAGTAGGCTGTACCATCTAGGTTTGTGTAAGTACACTCTGTGATGTGTGCACAATGCATTTCTCAGAACATATCACCATTGTTAAGTGATGCATGACTGAATTAGATATCACTGATATTTTCTATAATCACAGAAGATTGTTTTGTAAAATTACAGAATAAAATATGTATTCAATGTCTTTTAGGAAGGTGAAGTTGTTGCTGTTAGTGGTGGAACGTCGGAAGAGGAAGAGAGAGCATGGCACAGTGATGGCAGTTCTAGGTATTTTAATGCATTTTTTATTTCTCCAAACAGCATAGAATCTTTAGAAAGCTGAAGATTCTTTTTTATCAGCTACATATTTAGAAGTCTCTTTGGGATTAATCCAAAGTTGGTTCTTCAGAGTTTTTTTTTTGTAGTTGTCCAAAATTTAAGAGATTTGCTTTCTGACATGTTTTCTCTAGTAGAAAAAAAATTGGGAGTATTGCAACTAGGTCTACAAAATGATGCTTTTAACTTTCTTAGTTGATATTTTATCTTCCAAATGCTATTTTTTGTAATACTGAACCACAAACTAGTTTCATTACTGGTTTTTAGAAATATTTAAGCATTAAATTATGAAAGTAATGAGATCTTATAGACTTAACTATCTTATCTAGTGGGATTTATTGAATACTACTACTAATATTTTCTTCCAGTAATGAAAATAAGCTTTCTTTTTTCCTGTTATCCCCACCCTATTTGACCATGTCAGTGAGGATTCTTTCCACTCCTTATGCTGGTGATTCACATTGTTACAGGGCTGGTGGCCTTGGCTGACCTTGCAAGGAGGAGTGTAGCCTTTGGGAATGGTAATTACATTTAGCCCTTTACACTTATTCTCAGCAGCAGTAGCTCTTAAAATTGCCAAAGAAACCAAGAGGTGGAGGCTATAAGAATTCCTTTTATCAGTGTTAGAATCAAGGGCTTTGTATTCCCACAACAGTGACTCCCAGTAATGATATGCCACTGCCCCTGGTCATATCTGGTAGTTTTCTGTATTTGAAACAGGCTAGTGAAAAAAAACTCATTCTCTTTTGACTCAGCAATGGAAATAGACTATCATAAACCATGAAACAACATAGAGGTTCTCGTATTGAAAGAGCAGTGATGGCTTCAGTAATTGAGGGCAATTGTTGTCAAGATCATGGGCTCTGGGGTTTGTAGTTAGGTCTATGCTGGCAGCAGCAGATTTTCTGTAAGAGCTGAGTGCTCCGGAGAGTAGCAACTGTGTGTATTTGCCAGGTGCTGTCTACAGTGAATAAATGTGGCTGGGATTAGTGTGAATAAATGCTCGTAAGTTGAGGACAGCCTGTTCTTGGATAGATGTTTGCCCTGCAGATGCATTTCCATGCATCCAGAATAGTATCTGAAAATATCTTTTATTTAAGTTCTTTAAAATTATTTTAAATTTTAAATGAAATTATACTGGAAAACAACTTAATTATTTGTTTCTTATCTGTGATGATTATTCTGGGGAGATGTAGGTAAAATAACGCTATACTATAAAGGACATTTGAGCCTGGGGGAAGAGGCGATAGTGGAATAAAACTCCAGAAAGATCTGTGCTTTCAGTGTTAGAGTTATCAGCAATATACTTAGGGGAGTGGGGTCCTACATCACTTAATCTAGGCAAACTAATTATTGATTTTAATGTAGTATAATTTAGATTTCTTTAAGGCATTTATATTTATAAAACTGTATGAAATCAAGTAATATTTTCATGTACTAGAATTAAAACGGAAGATAAAATAACTGGATTCTTTATTTTGCATCAATGTTAGTTCAGTAAAACTTTTAGATCTGTTGAAGGTTAACTGAAAAAAAATGGCGAACATGATTGGTAGTGATACTTCAAATACTAAGACCTGTATTTTTCTGAATCACGGCATGCTTTGAAGCGTAAGATAGACCTGAGGGGTATGCAGATGCTAACTAAAATTTGCAAACACAACCTTCCTACTGGACAGGAACACTGGACCCTGCTAGTTCAATACCCAGCTACCATGAGGGCACCAGTGCTCTACCATGGGATTTCCCCCGTCAAGAGCTCCCAGCTCCCCTCAAAAAAGGAATCCCTCTGCTGCCTCCTCAGTGTTGATGCCTCCTGTGCTACCCAGGGCTAGCTATCTTTCTACTGTTGATAGAATTGAGGAAGGTGACCCTCTGCTCCTCATTTTTGTGTGCCCTACAATATTTTGAACATTTGCAGCTTTCAGAAATCAGTATTTTTGTTAAAATCATAGAAGGCCCTTAAGTTTATTGTTTGAATTAAAGCTATGACCTTATCTTAATTTTTTTGAGATATGAGTAAGTTAAGCCTACAGAATTTTAAGAAACTGTTTAGATGATGATGAATTGAAAGACAGATATGTTTAGTTCATTTAGTATGTACTATTGTGGCATTCTTCATTATGATCTTTCTTTACGTCTTTCAGAAAACAAAGTCTTGAAGTATATCCTGTGTGTATATTTTTTAAATATCTTTTTTGCTTCTAGTGACTACTCCAGTGATTATTCTGACTGGACAGCAGATGCAGGAATTAACCTACAGCCACCAAAGAAAATTCCTAAGCATAAAACCAAGAAAGCAGAAAGCAGTTCGGATGAAGAAGAAGAATCTGAAAAACAGAAGCAAAAACAGATTAAAAAAGAAAGGAAAAAAGTAAATGAAGAAAAAGATGGACCAATATCACCAAAGAAAAAGAAGCCCAAAGAAAGAAAACAAAAGGTTTATTTTTTTTTAATGTAAATCTTCTATGAAAACAAAGCACACATTTTAAAAGTGCAGTTGATGAACATAAACGTTGTTGAGGTGTACCAGCAAGTAGTAATAGAAAAAACTCAGAAGTACACAGTAGTAAAATAAAGTATACCAAAATATATTTTGTTTACTCAAGTTTTAAATGTTTAGCATGTGAGAGTATTTACTTGTAGAATTATCGTATTCTAAGTATTGAGCATTTACTCTTATTACATGAGCAGATTTTTCTTGATAGTACAGTGGGATTTATTCATTTATGTATGTAAAAAAAATAATGCCACAAAACATACAGTTTATTAGTCTTTTAATTGCCCTTGCCTTTTAACCCCCCTTATTAATTGTTATTGCTGAAAATAAATGGAAAGCACAGGGAGAACATCACCTGGAATAAGAACGACAAAACTTATCATAGTTGACCACAGGGTAAATATGAATCTAAAGGAAGACACTGCTGTTGTAACCAGGCCATAGTTAGACAGTCTTTAGGTCAGTATTGTTTTGATTACTACATCTTTAGTCTGTGGATAATTTGAGACAGATTAGAGAAAGTAAGAGATAAGTGTTATGGAAATAAGATCTATCAGCTCGTGTGGAGTTGGAATTCTTTAAGCTGTTTAACTTTTGCTCTAAAGTAAATGAAATATGAGGGATATGTTTCCTATTTACCAAAAGACTGTAAATGGGAAGCATATTTGGTTAAACAAAGATTTTTTCCAAACTTCTGCCAATTTTAGTATTAAATATAAGTTGTCATTTGTAGAATTAAATACTAGGGAGACTATCGGGTCTTTATTCCCAGAGAACTTTGAAAAATTTTAAGAATACATCTGTCTTAAGGGTTTATTTTATCTACGTCAGTTGAGCTCTTGTTTGTTTCAGCCTTGTAATTATGAATTACTTTAATTTGGATTCCACAGACTTCTGTTCTTCTTGTCACCTCCTTCACTTTTGTCTGAGGAAGATTTACCCAAGAAAATACCACACATTTGCCCACAGTTTTTCTCTTCTTCTTTGTTAGTGATGATAGATGTAGGCTGACCTGTTATTTTATGTGGTAGACAGATTGGTTAAAGAAAACTGATTTACCCATATATCTGGCTAAGAAGGTAAACATTTTTTTTCAATCTCAAGAAGTTTTGATGAACTTGTGAGGTTTGCAGTGTTATATCACCGTGAGAACGTAGTTCTTCTGTCTTGAGAGTGCATTTTACTTCACTTGGTCCCCCTTGGTTTGATAATCATCCACAAACTAATTCATTGGGCACCTTTTTGCAATGCCACATTTGGATCCACTGTTACTGTTTGGCATATTTTAATTGCATTGTTTTGCTTGAAGTATTGTGACAGGATCTGTCTGCCACTAAATTTATGTGGGACAGATTTTAAATAGCATAAGGTTAGGATATTATAGGCTATTATTCTCTTTAATTTGGATTTTGTTCACATGGTTTGGTATTAGCCCACTAGTAGATCTAACAGTAAGTAGAATTGTTCTTTTTTTTTTGTGAGGAAGGTTGGCCCTGAGCTAACATCTGTTGCCAGTCTTCCTCTTTTTTGCTTGAGGAAGATGGTTCCTGAGCTAACATCTGTGCCAGTTTTCCTCTAACTTGTATATGGGATGTGGCCACAACATGCCTTGATGAGTGGTGTGTAGGTCCACGCCCAGGATCTGACCCCATGAACCCCGTGCCGCTGAAGCAGAGTGTGCGAACTTAACCACTATGCCACCGGGCCAGCTCCTAGAATTGTTCTTATTCCTGAGTCCTCTTGTTATCTGAAACATGATAATATTTCCCTTCTTATGCGTGGAATTGTAGAGCTGGAAAGGGAGAGATAGATCCCTGAATATTTGATATTTATTGCATGTATGAAAAAATGAAAATATTTTCCATACTATTAATTCTGTTTGAACTGATAAAGCAAAAAACAGTAAGGCAGATATAGAAAATACTTATTAAAAAACAGAATTCTCCAGAGATGCAGTAAAGTCATCTCCGATGGTATCTGACATATATATTCCTTATGCTGTTTAGGAGCTCTGGAAAATGAATAAATTTTTATTAAGTACTTACAGTTTATAAAGCAATACAGTGGATGAAATAAGTGTAAGACATAGTTCTTATTCTAAAAACAATGTGTGACTAACAAGTTGCTTGAATCTCCCAAGATAAAAATAGAACTGTCACATGATCTAATATGTTTAATTGCCAGATTGATTTTAAAGATAACTCAGAAATCAGATGGGGACGTCTTATATTAGAGTTTCAGATAAGGCTTCTGGAAGAAATAAGACTTCAGGTGGGCCTAGAAGAATTTCCAAGGATAGAAAGAAAAGAAATCAATTACCTATATCTTCAAAATTAAAAAAAAATCAAATCATGAGGCTAGAAATTTTGAGGAATATTCAGTGCATTTTATTCCGTAAGTGATTTTAAGTACTAAGTGATAGAAATGTACTTTAATTAAAAATTCTAGGTTCCCCAAGAAGTATTGGGAAATAAGATTTATCCTCATAATGATTCTTGGCTATGACATAATCTACAGTTATAAATGTGATTATTCCTATTTAACATCCAACTTACCTGACTTCATGTAAGAGTTGTTAGCCAGCACAGTTGACACACATTTTCCTTATGGGGAGAAATACTTGCCTAGTGCAAGTAATAGTCCATATCGAGACTGGAATTAACAAATTTCAGACTTTTTATACCTTTTTTTCTTTTTATTAAGTCAAAGGAAACCTTTTTCAAACAGTTTAACTTAAAACCTCAGTGTGTAAAACTGATAAAATCTGTGACTCTCTATGCTGTACTCAGTGCATAGTAACAGTGGCTGCTCAGTAACTGTGGACAAAATAACTTTGCAGATATCATCTGACTTAACATCTCACATCTAACACACTACAAAACCTACTTTCTAAGCTTTCCCCTCTAACCTGCTGCACTCCAGCCCTCCTCATCTCAGCAGTGACAACTCCTAATTTTAGTTGTTTACACCAAAACCCTTATGTTATCCTTAATTATTCTTTTTCTCTCATATTCCACATCCAGTCCGTCAGAGAGTTATCGTGGCTCTCTCTTCTAAATATATTCAGCGCTTGGGTGTTTGCCACCTCTGCTATCATGCTAGTGTGAGCCACCATGAACTCTGACTTGTATTACTGCAGTAGCCTTCCATCCGTCTTCCTGCTTCCCCCCTTTTCCCTCTAGGGTCCATTCTCTAAAGCAGTGATTGACAAACTTTATCTGTAGAGGACCAGCTACTCTGTGGTTGTAGCCTGAAAGCAGCCATAGACAATACATAAATGAGTGGGTATGGCTGTGGTCTAATAAAATTTGATTTATAAAAGCAGACAGTGGGCTGGACTTGGACTATAGGCCATAATTTGCAAATCCCTGCTCTCATGCATCCAGAGTGATCCTTTAAAAGTCAGCTGCTTTCACTCTTCGGACTGAAATTTCCCATTGGACTCATCTCACATATAGTAAATACCCACCCTCCTCTATTCTCCAAAGAGAGAGTGCTCCTGATCTGTTTGAGAAACAGGAAGGTGTGGTTAATAGGAGGAAGAGGAAAATGAATATTGAATAGTAGCTATCCCAGTAACTGCTGCAAATAGTGTAGTCTGATACTGCATTATGACATTGCTTCTTTTAGTGAAGCTGACTCACAGTGATAGCTACCTTCTTTTTTTAAAAACACAAGAGAATAAAATTTACAAGTCTTAGTGTACAAATACTGAACCAAAACATTTTTAATCAATTGCATGAAGTTTCTCTACTTATAAATAATATTAGGTTTCAAAGGCTCTTAGAAAGTCCGTTTTTCCTAACTCGAAGGTAACAACATCCAGACCATGACAGGCAGTTGTGGGTGACCAGCGAAGTTAAAAAACTTTCTCAGAGGCCTATTTTTATGTTTATCCACAAAAGTTAAAAAGTAAGAGACCTGGCTTGACAACATTTTGTTTGAAAAAAATATTTTTTGTTAGAAGCTGAAAGCCAAGAGTGGGAAATAGCTACTTTAAAAAGGGCAGAGGAATATCCGTGGGCCATGTAGAAGTATAGTGCCCAGCCCATGGAAACAATTAGCCTTCCGTATCTTGCACTACTCAGCCCGTATGAGAATGTCTTATTTAGTTCTTAATAACACTATGACTAGGATTTAAAAAAAAAAAAAAAAAAACTCGAATATGCCTTGGTTTGTTACATGGAATGTTTATAAAACTGATAGAATTTTGAGAGGAAGGGGGACTACACAGACCTTTATACTTTGGGGTTTATGGGAATATCTTCTTACCTAGTTTTGTTGTGAATGTTGCCTGTAGGGTTTTGGTTTATCTAGTTATTTTTTAATGCAGTGATTTGGAGAGATATTTGAATAACTATACTGCCACTGCTGCCATCTTCCCAGAATAAGATTTTTTGTTTTTTTTTTTTTTTTTGTGAGGAAGATCAGCCCTGTGCTAACATCTACCAATCCTCCTCTTTTTGCTGAGGAAGACTGGCCCCGGGCTAACATCCATGCCCACCTTCCTCCACCTTATATGGGACGCTGCCACAGCATGGCTTGACAAGCCATGCGTCGGTGCGTGCCCGGGACCTGAACCGGCGAACCCCAGGCCGCCACAGCAGAGCGCGCGCACCCAACCACTTGCACCACCAGGCCAGCCTCCAGAATAAGATTTTTAATACTTAAAGAATATACATTTTTGTACAAAGATCCCCTTCCTCTTTTATTGATTTAACTACTCTTAGAGTAATTTTCAAGAGTAGATTGTTAGATGTCTTTATGATAATATTACTTTATAATGTTCTAAACTCTTAGAGATTGGCTGTAGGAGAACTAACGGAAAATGGTTTGACATTAGAAGAATGGTTACCTTCAACGTGGATTACAGATACTATTCCCCGAAGATGTCCCTTTGTGCCACAGATGGGTGATGAGGTACTTTTAAATTTTCAAAAACACTTTTTCTTTCTTTCTTTCAAGTAACTTTAAGGATTTTTTATAGTTCTTGAAACAACTGTAGAAAATTTCAGCAGTTTCATGAAGTATCTCATTCTAGATGTTTGTAGCTGTGTATGGAAAAAGTATAATTAGGAAAGCTCTAAAGATCTTTTTTGAGGCTATTGTAAATATTGCAATAGCAAATCTAAATATTGTAAGAGAATGAAAATTTTGTTGGCATTTTAAAAACTAGTATGTAATTTTTAATAGGATTTTATTGCCAGTTTTCTTTTTCTCTCTAAATTAACATATATTAATTTTTCTTAGCTTAAGGATTAAGTATATAGCTGTTTAAAGGAAAAACAAAATTCAGCATTTTATTTTCATTTAATTTTATTTCATAAACGTGTTTTGTTTAATTACCTACAATGTTCATAATTTATTTCTTAGATCTTTAAAAAAATCTGTTATCTTAGAATAAGAAATATTATTTCATTTATAAGAAAATGTGATCAGCCATCATTTTGGACTAAGTACTTATGAATTTGAAATGAAAAATGTAAGATCTTAGATCAAAATTTCCCACTCAGTGGTTTATGTCGTCATCTTTTATACATAAATATTAAGAGGCAGTGTTATTTGGTGTCCAGTAGGGTAGCAGTAATAAAATAGAAATTAAAATAGAGGCTTCTTTAACAAAGCACACTAATTAGCAGTAGAAAGTGGCAGGTGGCAGTTGACAGAAAAAAAAAAAGGAGAACAAAAACTTAATGCAAGAGTACCTCTAGAGAACAGTCTGAAATAATTCATTTAGAAGACCCTACTTGCCTAAGAAAACTTAAAAAGCACAAAACATTACCTCGTTTTTGTAATTTAGTATAATGATAGATCCTAACAGTTCCTGCAGCATCAAGAAAAGATGCTTGGTTAAATTACACTTAATATATTGTTAAAAGATGGCCCAAAAGTGTGTAATTCCTTGTTGAATAATTTCCTTTCAAAATGTTTGTCTTTGTAATTGTTAGTGCTTAAACAGGGACATGATTATTTAGCACAATTCCTTCATGTGAAGTTCCAGACAACTGGAGCAATAATATTAATGAATAGAATGAAAGTATATAGAATCGTGGATATCCCAAAATGTTACTAAGAACCTAACAGTATTTTTAAAAATTTTAATACCATTTTTTAACAAGCTCTACAGCTTTTTTAGTAGTGAGAAGAACACTTGGTGTCAGACTGCTGTGTTCAAGTACCAGTTCTGCGAGATGGTAGTCAGGAATCACTTAAATTTGACTTTCATAAAATGAGTATAAATATATGCCTTGCTGTCTTTATAAGGTAAAATATATGTGAAAATACATTTGTCATTTTAAAGTTTTTTGCATATATACAAACCACTTGCTACAAAAGTAAGTGAACAGTAAATTAATCATGACCCTGGTTACAACTTACTTTATTATGCAACATAAAGTAACTTATTTTGAATCTAAAAATAAAACGGTGAAACCAAAAAACCAAAAAATAATTGCTCATCTTAACCTCTTAGTATATAACCACAGTAATACTATTTAGAACACTTTGGTTATGATTAAGTGACATTAGGACAACTTGAGGAAAAGAAGGGGAAAAAAATCAAAATATTAGAATTTTTTCTACTTCAAAGGACATTAAATTCTCTCTGTGCAGTTTTAGCTGATAGCTTGCATCTTGGGTTAAAGGAAACACATTCAAGTTTTATATTGTGACTTTATTTACTTTTTAGGTTTATTATTTCCGACAAGGACATGAAGCATATGTTGAAATGGCCCGGAAAAATAAAATTTATAGCATCAATCCCAAGAAACAGCCATGGCATAAAATGGAACTACGGGTATGGTGTTTATTTGATAGCCCAAAAAGATGCAATTATGGATTATGGAGAAAATTGTACTGAGTGTTCGTGTTTTCACTATGAGAAACTATCATGAAGATAGTGAAACTATTATGAAGATATCCTTTTTTTAATTGAAGCAATTCTGGGGAGTAGAAGGTGTTTAATTTTCAAAGAAACACAAGATTGAATTTATATACTCTGATAGTTTATAAATTGGGTACAAAATGTAATTATAGTGAAAATTGGACAACATTAGTGTCTAAGGTAAACTTCATATTTGTAGATTTGGTAAATATTTCTAGATTTATCAGCAGTAGTTCAAAATTATTTAGAGGTCTTTGGAACTGTGTTGAAAATTCTTATTTCAATAAAGTTTTCCTTTTTTTTTCCCTTTTTTTAATTGAGATATAACTTGTATACTATACAGTGCACAGATCTTACGTACATATCTCAATGAATTTTTACATATACACAGAGTAACCACTGCCTAGGTCAAGATTGAAATGGAGAAATGTTTTCTCGATTATGTTTAGTAGTTTATTTTGTGGTTTATTTTGTGAAGATGGTTTATTTTCTCTATCTTCCTCAGGAACAAGAACTGATGAAAATAGTTGGAATAAAGTATGAAGTGGGATTGCCTACTCTTTGCTGCCTTAAACTTGCTTTTTTAGATCCTGATACTGGTAAACTGACTGGCGGATCATTTACCATGAAGTAAGGACTGTTGAAAGAGGCAATGGTTTCGTAGTATTGTAGATTGTTTTTCAAGATTTAGATAAATTTGAACGTTTTTTAGATATTTTTGGGTGTGTGACCTAATCAATGTGTTTCTGTTTGTAATTAGATACCATGATATGCCTGACGTTATAGATTTCCTAGTCTTGAGACAACAATTTGACGATGCAAAATATAGGCGGTGGAATATAGGTGGGTAATTTATTTAGAAGCCATAGGTGTTTTTTTTTTAATAAGTGATTTACTATTATTCATAATTTAGAAATAGATAATCAGAGAAATCTTACCGTTTGTGGTACTATGAATAGCAAAGTAAGATTCTGTGTCAGGTGTTTTTTTAAGAATGAAAATACTTTTATCTAGTTGATGCTGAAATTCTAAACATTTTCTCTATTTGGCAACTATCTAAGATTTTTCATAGCTATTCCTTTAGCTGTTTTACACGTTGAATTAAATTTTTATCCAGAAATATTAATAACAATTCAAACTTGAAGCAAAAGAAGTCTTCCAGTTCAAAATGTTTCATAATTTGGACTGGGACTAAAACTAAACTGACATTTTTCTTATATTGGTTAACTCTGTTGTAATCTTTAAAGTTATTATTGTAATCAAGACTCAAAAAAACTTTAAAATCCTTAAAAGTTTCTAGGCATTTAAGATGCATTAATTTATGTGCAGATAGACGTGCAATTCATTAGAATTTCTTTTAAAAATTTGAAACAGGGCCACTCTTTGTCATCTTGGAGTGGGGTGTGGTGCATATTTGGCATATTTGTTTTGAAAAAAAGCACGTCAATTGATACGCCAGTCCATCCATCCAGTGCCATTGGAAGGCATTGGCATGGTGATGTGTCTTTTCTTGTTTGGTCCTGGTAAACTTAGAAATTTTCATGTGTGCTCTAAAAAGAAAGATTAGAGAAATGCAAATTACCGAAATTAGGGATATAGGAATTATTTAAAAACAATTTACATCCTATGTACCATTTCTCTGGAAACTTTGAAAGATGTGTTTCATCAAATAAGAGAGTAAACCCAGAGGACATGAAATCCCACCAGGAGACAGGAAATCCAGAACAGAAAAGAGCTGAAGGGAATTCCCAAGTAACAGTCAACAGAAATCTCAGGATAGCATCTGTCTAGCAAGTCTATAAAACAACCAGTCCAGAAGACGTTGTCCTCCAAGAGTGAAGTCTTCAGGGAAAAAAATGGAACTGATAAATTATCTAACAGGTTTGACTTTCTGGGAAATTATATCGAAGAGTGTTTTATAGTTTGAGCCATTAGAGAACGTGGGAAGACTTAATCGTACATTCAGAGAAAGCCAACCATAAAAAAATGAAGCACTTACACAAAAATACAAGGAAAGAATTGTGTGCTGTTTGGCTCAGTAGCAAACAACATTTACATAGTTATGATAAATCTGAATATGGATTAAATAAAGTACACATACCTTTTGTATACAGTTATGTGGAGAGAGGTCAATACTTAATATCTAAAATTGATGAGTGAAGAAATAGCTCTATACTCAGAAATCTGTAAGTAAATTCAAGAAGAAATAGTTAAAAGAATTAAGTGTTTTTCTTGGTTTTGGTTCTAAGCTTTTGGTATGTTGTTTGATTTTTTTAAATTATTTGCATGTGTTACTTGACAAGATAAATTTTATTTTTTTAAGGACATGCATCTGCCAATAAATTGCAGAACAAAAGTTAGTAGTCAGAGTCCAGGAATATTCCAGAAATGAGCTGATAACCTAAGCAAAGAAATATGGCAAACATTGGACAAATCAAAGAAATATTTCAAATGGATGTACATCAGAATTTTCTCATTTGGATCTTACAGTTTTTTTCCCCCCTAATTTTATAGATTAATATTTCTTCTAAAGTTAGTACTATTTGGTCTTTTATTTCTGTAGATATATGCATCTGCTTACCAACTGCCATGTAAAATTACATCAGTAGTAATTACTTTAGTCTGTCTTAAACATTTAGAAATGTCTATGGCTTATTCTGAATGGTGGACTCTCTTCCTTGCTTAACTTTACTGTCATTGTACAGTATTGTTCATTGTGGTTAGGCACACATTATCCAGTTCTTCTTCCTCTTTAGCGTAATGTCATCAGTCTATGTAGGATCATAAGAAATAGCTCTGTGCAACTCATCTTTCCTGTAAGGTTGTGGTGGTGTCAAGAATGCTGTTTATTAAATTATATAGTAGCTTTTCACTAAGCTCAGTCACTAATGTGTGTCTGAGGAGCAGTTAGAGACTCAGTCTGGTAATAGATCATGTTTCCCTCTTTACATTGGCTGTTAGAATGCTTGAATCTAAATTTGGGTCCCAATGCATACCCACTCAAAGTATATATAACTCAAAAGCATGCAGTTGTGTTCTATTAACTTACTCCTGGCTCCAGCTTTCTCTTTTATCGGTAAATTTCTTTTATCTTGTTTTTTAATTTTTTACTTCATTTTATGCTATATATCCTCATATACTTTTAAATCCTTTTTGGTAAAAAATGAGAACATTAACAAATACTTTTCTCTTTGTGGGTTTGAAAATGAAGCTGATTCATATGACCTCGAAAATAACTAGTTAATTTGTTCAAAATCACACAGATAAGTTATTTGAACTCAAGTCTTTCAGACCCTAACCCATGCTCTCCAGAAGAATCCACTAAGTACTATAAAGCCAAGGAAGGGGAATGCGTGGCAAAAAGGATGAGAGTGCTTTACAGATTTCATATGACACAGAGGGAAGCTGAGAAGATAGCTTATTAGGGTCTTTGGGGAAAGCAGTTGCAGTAATATGACAATAGCTGGACACAGTGGGGTAAGGCAAGCGATGCAAGGCGTGCTATCTGTTTTACAAAGATTAGTTGTTTCTCTTTTTGTTTTTATTTAGTTATTTTTATAGGAAAGGGAAAATGAGTATATATGTGAGTGTTATAACTTAAGGGTGATTGAGATGGAGGAAGGCAGGTTGGATTCTTTTATTTTTGTTGTTTTTAGGCTGGAGTCTTGATTGTTGTTTGGAAGAACTTGCCTACAGAAAGTAAGAAATTAAAGATAGACTATACGTATTTGAGCAGAATTTATCTAAACTGTATTTTTATTTGAATGAAAAATTTGGGCATAGTCCTAATGATGAATTTAGAATGCTAGACTGGTAAAAATGTTTAAGGTAAGAGTGAATTTCTCCTTACCCTAATAAAATGTAAGAAATGGTATTAGAAACTGGTAAGTCATACTTTAGGTGTGCTTATTAAATAACTTTTTTTTCATCAATGTTACTGATTTTATTTATTACTTGTTTGTTTTGGAGTGTGTAGGTCACTTTTTATATATCTTCTGAAATCATGCAGGCAGTTTAAGTATCTTAAAGGTATACTTTGGGAAAAAAGTAACAGTAGCAGCAATATATTTCAGAGTAATGAGATGGCTTTTATTCTTGTCCAGGTGACCGTTTCAGATCAGTCATAGATGATGCCTGGTGGTTTGGAACAATTGAAAGCCAGGAACCTCTTCAATCTGAGTATCCTGATAGTTTGTTTCAGTGCTATAATGTTTGGTAAGGAAATATTTGTTGTATTTTAGTTCATCCTGACTTGCTTTGAATATTTTCCCTATCTGTTCATAAAGTGATAAAGATACTTCTTTTAAACACTGAAGCAATTAATTTTTATAATGTGATTTTATAAAAATTGTAATACAATATTTAGATTTTTTAATATAAGGATTTTCCTTCCTTTAAGTTGGGACAATGGAGATACAGAAAAGATGAGTCCTTGGGATATGGAGCTTATACCTAATAATGGTAAGTGTATGTTAGGCATTTTGTGTCTGTATTATGGAATTAATTTCTTAAATAAGAAATCTGATTTGCTAACTTGCTACCACATAGGGTTGTTATGAAGGTCAAATAGAAAATATTCACTTGGCAAGTATTTATTGCAAACCTACTATTGACCAGACGGCATAACAGTGAATAAGATAGACATAATCCTTGCCTTGCCCACTTGGAACTTAGAATCTAACAGGGAAGATTGAAATTAATTAAGTACAGCAAAATATGAAAATGTTCTGCTAATTCACTCCCAGAAGGCAAACACCTGGGAGCAAAGATTTTTTTTTTTAACTCCAGCAGAATATTTAGAGTGTAACATAACATTAGTATTGAGTTCCAGCTTTTGAGTGAGACATAGATTTATATCCTAGCTCTTCCATCTTCTATCTAAGTCATCTTGGCAAGTTCCTTAAAAATCTCAAAACTCCAGATTCTTAGGACTCAGCCTTTGAAATTATGTAAACAAATACCTTCCTTGCAGGGCTGCTGTGAAGATTAAATGACATATGTGTAAAGTGCTTATTATAGAGCGTGACACATGTAAGGGCTCATTGAGTAAGTAGTTATGATTAATAATAATAATAGTAACTGTCATCTTGCATATGGCCTGACACTTTGCCTTAGGATTTAGGAGTTAGCCTTCGGCAGTGAGTATGACATCTTCCTGGAACTGAGAAAAGACCAATATGGCCGAAGCCTAGAGATTGCATTTTCTTTCTACCTCATTGCCCATTTTTGTTTCAATTTAAAAAAAATACACAATAGTATGTGCATAAAAAGGCTTAAAAGGATATATATTCCAGATCATTAATATTGATTATTTATAAAGGGTGGGAATATGAGGACTTCCACAAATTATCTTTTACATTATTCTGTATTGTTTGAATTTTTTTTTTTTTGGAGGAAGATTAGCCCTGAGCTAACATCCATTGCCAATCGTCCTTTTTGCTGAGGAAGACTGGGCCTGGGCTAACATCTGTGCCCATCTTCCTCCACTTTATAAGGGACGCCGCCACAGCATGGCTTGATAAGCAGTGTGTCAGTGCACGCCTGGGATCTGAACCCTGGGCTGCTGCAGCAGAGCACGCACTTAACCGCTACGCCACTGGGCCGGCCTGTATTGTTTGATTTTTTTTTTTTAACAGTGTATTTTATTATCAGATAAGAATAAAGATTTTTAAAAGCAAAAAGGAAAAAAATCTGACTTGTGACATAGCAGAAATAATCTTTTATAAATGGAGTTGTTCACTACTTAATTGTGTTCTTAAAAATTAGTCAGAGAACAGATAACTTGAAAAAAGTAAACCCAATCTGGTAAACCTTAGAAATGAGAAAATGATCATGTTGCTATTGTCCAAGACTAGTTCTTTCTAGAAATTATCACTTTGAAAATTTAATACTAATAATGGATTTTTCATCTCACTGCTAAATTATAGCTCTTTAAAACTATAAAATATCTTACTTTGTAACCGTATTACATGGCTTATGTTCTGGTTTTATTTCTCTCCTTCGTGAAAGTTTGAGTTCGAAGTCACATTGTACTGTTGTGAATATGAGAGAAATGAAGCTAATTGGTGTTGTCATGCCTGGGGTATTTCTTGAAATGAATTAGTGGCATTAATATTCTATTTGCTGCATAAATATATCTGTGTGTGGAGGGGATGATTTTTGTTGTTTTTTTTCTATTTGAATACACATACATGTGCACCCATAGAGTTTAGTTACACTTTGTGGGAGGAGGAATTTTGTACACAAATAGTAGCATATTTCCCAATGTTTCTCTGATGAAGTCTAGTTCAAAGATAAAAATTTACTTGGCAGATTTGTAGATTTTATGTCACCACCACCCTCTAGTGAGTCTCTTAAAGATTCTGTTAAAGATTCAGGCATTGAGAAAGCATACCTTCATCATTTAAGAGCAACAAGCATAAGAATCCTCTATCAATATTCATAATTCCCTCTGTTTCTACATTTAAAAAATTGGGCTTCGATTGAAATATTCCTGAGAAATACCACTTTAGTTCAGTTTCACCTTGTGTATGTTTTATCAAAGTAAATATGGAGATTATGTTATGAAATGATTCAGAAAACTTTTAAATTTGTATCATTTTGTAGAAATACTTTCTCCTTCACCTGTAACTGATAATAAAGCAAGTTGTCAGTTATAATTTGGAGAAGGAATTATATGCTCATGCTCATCCAAAGAATTATTTATAAAATTAATGTTTTAAAAAATTTTTGATTTTATTGACCCTTGAAACATACTTTTGTTTAGTGAAAATAAAGAAAATGCTTACCAAATCTTTACAAAATTATACTTTACTTTTATGACGATATCAACTTTACTTTCTAAAGGTAACCTAAGTATTAGTACATTACCACATATTTTCACTAAATCTGCTTTTCTTTCTGCATATTTCAGCTGTATTTCCTGAAGAACTGGGTACCAGTGTTCCTTTAACTGATGTTGAATGTAGATCATTGATCTATAAACCGCTTGATGGAGAATGGGGTTCCAATCCCAGGGATGACGAATGTGAAAGAATTGTTGCAGGAATAAACCAGTTGATGACACTAGGTAAATAATAATAATAACACATGAATATAGAAAAAGCTGGTAGAAAGCAAAGGAAAGAAACAATACTATTATTCAAACAAAATTTTTTTTCACAATGTAAATAAGTTGGTGGTTTTCAATTTTTTTTTAGATCTTACACAGGACTTATATATCTAAAACAGTTATGAATGAGATTCCTCTAGCTGAATTTCAGAATGAGGGACCCCAGAAATGCCAGGGGTTCCTCTGAAAAATCTGGATCCTCCAGAAGCCAGTTTGAAAACTGTTGACATATTAAGGCTGATATGATGTGGATTGGGAGAGGAGGGCAGAAAGCTGAGTTACAATTATATGGATAGCTGTATCAGCTTTCTCCTTAAGTTTATGTACATATACACAAGAGAATATTTGTAAGGCGAGGGGAAAGGGTATATGAACTACTTTGCCTCATGAAAAAAAACAGTGACTACAAAACTTGATTATTTGAACTGTGGGCTTCCAGAGTAACTCTAAACTAGTGTGGTAGTTTGTAGCAACCCACTCGGTCAATAAGGAATCAGCTGCAAAGAGTCTAGGGAGAAATTAAGATGAATAAGAAGAGCTGAAGACACTGGAGACACATATTGAATGATATTTTCATCTCAAGTCTTTTATAAAATGTCAGCACTATATAAAAATTGTCTCAAATATTATCTTAAACAATTTTAGTAATATTTTAGGGTATGAATTTGTCTTATACTATATGTGAATGAGCAAAAAAATGAGGAATGATCTTAGTTAGCTTCGAGATTTTTACCAGTTTACTGTATGCCATTGGTCGTTGACATCGAGTCAAAGACTTCTGGATCTATTTCCCCCTCTCTGTTGTTTCACAGAATTATGTTGTAAAGATGAGATAAGGTGATAAGTTTTAAGAAAGTCAAAAGTTACATTTGAATGCAACGTATTATAGTGTTAGTGATAGAATGACTGTCAAAAACACTTAGATTCAGGAATGGCCAAGTTTTAATTATTGAAATGTATGTGTATGTTCTTAATAGGTCAGATGTATATATTTGTCATCTCCTCTAGGGAATCTATGAACAACAGATATCTCTAGATTTTTCAGTGTATTATTAGACATAATAAAAAGTGAGACTCTGTTAGGTTAGCTAAACTGTATGCATTTTCTGTAAAAGGACAATGGCAGGCTAATGGTTATGTGGATTAGAACTTAGCTTAATTCAAGCAGAATTGTCCGTGAAGTATTTTAACCCATACAAGAATAAGTTTATAAACTTATTTGTTTTATTTATTTTAGATATTGCTTCAGCATTTGTGGCCCCTGTGGATCTGCAAGCCTATCCCATGTATTGCACTGTAGTGGCATATCCAACGGATTTAAGTACAATTAAACAAAGACTGGAAAACAGGTTTTACAGGTTAGAACCATTTGCTGTAGCTACTACCAAAAGGAAGCTAAAGGATCCTTTAACCCATTTACTGATCTATAGTAGTGTTTCTCAAACTTTAGTGTACATACAGATCACCTGGAGATTTTGTTAAAATGCAGAATTAGATTCAGTAGGGTTAGAGTAGCACCTGAGATTCTGCATTTCTAACAAGTTCCCAAGGATGCTGCTGCTGCTGCTGGTCTGTAGACGACACTTGGAATATGATTCCTAGATACAGTTTTTCCTAGTTGCTAATATGCGTTGATGCTTACTGTCTTCATTTTGTATTTTATAAAGCAAGCCTAAGTATTTCATTTTCTCCTACATATCATATTGAAATACTTGTTTGTTCATGGATTTTTCATAGAATGATATAAAAAATTGTGTATTTTTTCTTATTTTGCTTATGTTCAGCTTATAAATACTCATGGAAAATGAAATTAGGAAAATTCAGGATATTTTTCATAGTTGTAGCTTAGCTTGAAATATAACCAGAGTTAGAAAAAACAGACATAATTTCAATTAATTTGCATCTTCTTCTAGTTAACAGTTTTGATAAACATTGAGTTCTGATCTTAGGCTTGGTAGGTTTATTGCCTAAAATGTCAAAAAGTGAATTTAAATCTATAGTTTTTACATAATGAAATCATACTTGTGGTTTTCATTTTTCTAATATGACTTTTGCTTCACAGGCCAACATTTTAATTTAAATAATGTTGCATTAAAACTTTCTTTTTGTGACTAGTTTTATATTACTGCAGTTCTTTACATTATTATTCATTTTAACTTAGGGAAGTTTTTATTCATATTTTATATTCGTATTTTTCTATATAAAATGTGCCTTAGGTTCTTTTTATTACTTAAATTGTAATTCTAATTTGGTCCATCATGTACCTGGCACTGAAAACACCATTTATTATTCCTTACTGACTAAAGCAGAGTTTCTCAACAAAAGCATTACTGACATTTGGGACTGGAAAATTCTTCATTATGAAGGGCTGTCCTGTGCCTCTACCCTTTAGGTGCCAATAGCAGCCCCGAGCTGTAAAAACCAAAATTGTCTCCAGGCATTGCCAAATGTCTCCTGCAGGGCAGCATCAACCCTGATTGAGAACCACTGGAATAAAGAAAACTAAGATATTAGACTTCAGGTTCTGAAGATTTTTCTGATCTTGTTAGGTGTTTCTGCTGTTGCTTCATTGATATTTGTCAAAAGCATAGAGATAAGGAGGAAACCACCTGTGATATGTGCCTCCAGCCATCTTACTCTTGAAGCACACTTCTTTAAATCTTTTTCAACACCGCATGTTAGTAGTTGAAGAAAGAAAATGGAGAAGAAATTCTTAACTATATCTTTCTTTCTCCCTAGACCCCTAAATTGCTAAACCTTAGGAATTACACCTAGTGCTTCAGAGATTGAACAAGACATGGGAGGATAACAGGGACAGAAGGAGTTGTTCCTGTACACTAGTTGTTGGAGTACAGCTAGAAATACAAGCTTACAGCATCTCCCACTATTGTTGTCAATATACTTTCTCTAGAAATACTGCTCAGTATGATAATTGCTAAGGTGTACTCTATTTCAAGGTACTTTACAACTTAAATAGGCTTTTTGGCATTAGCCTGGCTTAGTAACCAATTTAGGGAAAAATGTCGTGGAACACAATCCTTACATAAATTAGGAACTGGCTGTTTTTCAACCTGATAATATATTCTAGACTTGATTATGTTCTTATTTAGTATAGTGATACCTTCATGTGCCATTTCACTGTTTCCAGTTTTTTTGTTTTTCCTTTACTCGTTGGCTTCAGACTTCTTAAGGTTTATGGTTTTCCTCTCTGAAACTTCTAGTTCAGTCTCTTGTTAAACTGTTACTATCAGTTTGCCCTGCTGGTGTTAATCTAATGCCTTATTATACACACAGCTTTCTCTAGACTACCCTGAAGATGCCTATGATTCTACATTAGAATGAGTCTTGTGAATGCTGTGTGAAATGCACAGAGGCTTTTCTATGTGCTTCTGTATCCACAATTATATATATTTTTTTAATTCTGTATAATTTTATTTCTGTTCACACCTCAGTAAGATTTTCTGAGTATTTTCTTCCTTATTTTAAGTGAAACCACATATTGAATGATATTCTAGAAGTTGTCTTTGGATTTTTCTTTACTATCAGAAATAAAATAACAAAACACAAAAATTTATTTTATTTTTTATTATTTTTTTGGTGAGGAAGATTAGCCCTGAGCTAACATCTGATGCCAGTCCTCCTCTTTTTGCCAAGGAAGATTGGCCCTGGGCTAACATCTGTGCCCATCTTCCTCTACTTTATATAGGGTGCCACCACAGCATGGCTTGACAAGCGGTGCATAGGTCTGCGCCTGGGATCCGAACCCTTGAACCCCGGGCCGCCGAAGCGGAGTGCGCGCACTTAACTGCTGCATCACCAGGCTGGCTCCACAAAAATTTATTCTAGTTTTGTCAATTCAGTGTTCAAAAATAATTTTTATTTAGTTAGGTTTCTTGGTTCACCATGTTTTTATTTTATTTTATTTTATTTTTGTGTGAGGAAGAGCGGCCCTGAGCTAACATCTGCCAATCCTCCTCTTTTTGCTGAGGAAGACCGGCCCTGGGCCAACATCCATGCCCATCTTCCTCCACTCTATATGGGACGCCGCCACAGCATGGCTTGACAAGCGGTGCATCGGTGCGTGCCCAGGATCCGAACCTGTGAACCCCGGGCCGCCAAAGCGGAGCGCGCGCACTTAACCACTGCGCCACCTGGCCGGCCCCCTGTTTTTATATTTTTATATCTCATAAGTAGATTATCAGCTTTTCATTTTTTACATGTCATTTGATTACTAGTAATAAAATTAGATTAAATTGTTTCCTTTTTTATATAAAAGTCAGATATGCTTATAACCAAAAATGACACCATACATGACAGGAATATGTAAAGCGAAAACTAAAAATTCCTCCATTTCTATTCTGCTATTTCCCCTATAGACAATCTCTCCCTAAAAGAAGGCACTGTTAATAGTCTAGTGTGTCTAATCCAGACATTTTCTATGTAAATACACAGTTAATGTTGCTACTCTGTCTTTTTTCCCTAACACAAATGAGGTTATATTTTTTCAAAAGGAGCTTTTTCAAGTGTGAGTTTTGTAATTGATTTAAGACTGCAATGGAAAAGTCACAATGTCTTTGTTTTAAATTGTGTGCACATATTTTTAAATATAATGAAGTTAAGACTTCTGTATTTTGTTTGTTTAAAGGCGGGTTTCTTCCCTAATGTGGGAAGTTCGCTATATAGAGCATAATACACGAACATTTAATGAGCCTGGAAGCCCTATTGTGAAATCTGCTAAATTTGTGACTGACCTTCTTCTTCATTTTATAAAGTGAGTTATTTTTCCACACAATTCTAATTACTGTAATAATTAATGGCAATATTTTATAATGTAAAATGTCAAAATGTAAAATCATTTTTATATACATGATGTCACATGCTGTGCTATAAACATAATCCCACTCAAAATAGGAAGCATATAATGTCTGTGTGTAAAGAAGTAACATGTAGTTCATTGGCTAATATTGTGAAATCATAAAAGTTGTGTTACAGTTGTGTTCTACAGTTAACATAAAAAAACATAGATCCCTCTCTAAATCCAAATCTTGGACAATAAAAATAATAATAATAAAAGTAAGCATTTATTGAACATGTAGTAATGCTTTACCTAAAAATAGTTCTTCCAAGCTAAATAATAATCTTACAGGTAGGAGAGATTATTATCTAGAATTTACAGTTAAGGAAACAGTCTTTTTGAGGCTAATTTGTTTAGTTTTCACAGTAAATGAGTGTCTGCCATCTGGTTTGAGAATGTTTCATCTTAACATTGTATTGTTCCTGTCCAGTGTGTGAACAAATATTTTAGTAGTGCAGGAGGAAACTAAATTTAACTTTTAAGATTCTTCTTCTTCAAGGTCAAGTTGACTTCCTCATTCATTGACTCCATACCAAGAGTGATAACTACAACTTTTTAAGGCAGCAGCACTTGTACTTCTTTGTGTTATGGATTTTATGTAACCATAGAATGAATTGAGCCTTCTAAATTGAAGCCAGAGGAATGAATTGTATGTTTTTGTATAAGATGCTGCTCTGAGTACATATTAAAGTTATTTATATTGAATGATTTCTTTTCTGGTTAAGAAGAGATAATGTATTTTATAATTTAAGTGTAAACAGCTATTATCAGCTTTCATTTTTACATGAAGTGATTACTGAGGCTTTTGTTTGTTTTAAACATCTCCAGCTTCATTCTCATTACTCAGCATAATCATATGGTCCCTTTTCCTGGTATTGGTTGTTTTTTGTTTCCTAAGGAATGTAGGTAATTTCACTATAAGAACACCAAAGAAAATTAGTAAGATAAACTTGATGCCCTTCCTCTATCTTGCTCTCTAAAGAAATCTATCACCTTCCAGATGGTTTGGGGGCTATTATTGCTATGCTTTTGCTTCTTTTCAGTAAAATTGATAATCAAGAATTAATTATCCTTGGAAGACTGTTTATATAACTTGGTTATAATAGCTTATAATATTTTAACTATAAAGTTTTTGGTCTGTAATTTTATAAGTGTTATGTGTATATACATCCATTTTTCCAAAGAGATATGTATGAATCAATAGAGCCACATGATATAGTAAATTCATATTTTAGTGAAATAAATTAGATGAAACAATTATTTTTACATGTGAAATAGTCAGTGATATTGTATTTCTTTCAAATAGGTATTTTGAAATGCCTTATAAGAACAGATTAATATAATATTTAAAGCATTTATATTGTGTATATCTAAAAATAAATTTCAGGCATTTTTAGAGGTGTGTAATTTGTTAAAACCATTTTTAGTTGACTGATTTTCAGGATGTTAGGTATGTCTTGAAATTTTGATTATTTTACTTTTTAGTTGAGTTATTTGGCCAGATTTCAAGCAATAGACATATACAAAGTGATATAATAGATACTTGGAGATAGAAATGTATATTTACCCTCTTAATACAGTTTTGTAGGAAGATAAAGAATAATATAAGGAAAAAGCAGCAAGAGAGTTTGTATGAAATGGTAGATGAAGGGTAGGGCCACTTCTAGCCGTGAGAGTGGGGTTTCAGGTACAGGGAAGAAGTATGTTAAGATGTTACAGCCAAGGTAGGTATTCATAGATTTAGGCAAAGTTAGATGAAAGGAACCCATTCTAGGGATAAGGAGTGGCATGAGGTAGGAAAGTAGAGTTGTTAAGGGAACTGAGTAATTTAAATCAGGTCAAGTAGAAAGTACATGAGCAGAAGCAATAGGGATACAATGCTATAAACTCGAGTTTGGGCCAGATCACGGAGGGCCTTGAATGCTGATCTAAGGAGCTAGACTTTTAAAATATGAGCTCTGGAAGCAAGGGGCTATTGAAAGTATTTAACGTGAAAATACCATGATGAATGCTATGCCTTAAAAATATTAATTTGACTGCAGTGTCTAATATTAATTAATAGGGAGGAGACAAAAAGCATAAATAGCAGATTGCCTGCTACAGCTGACCAAGTAAGAAGTGATGAGGGCTTACTTTATGGAAGTGAGAAAGAGGCAGATGCCAAGAGATTTTGAAGGTAGACTCACAGAACTTGGCCAATGATTGGGTTTATAAGGAGGCAAGGAAAGGAATAGTGAAAAACCATGACGACTATGAGAATGGTAATGCTGTTAAAAAAATAGAGGAAGGAGGAAGAGTGTCTGAGGACTGACAGTTGGGTTTAAACATGGGGAATTTTCGATGATGGTAGGAATCTCAGAAGAGTCAGACTAAATTATAGGAGTTTGAAATTCATTTACACAGATAAACTGCAGATATATAAGGTTATCAGGGCAAAAGGTATAGTGTTAAGAGAAGATGACTAAGGACGAGAAGATGACTAAGGACAAGACGTTAGGGAATGCATACGTTAAGAATGAAAGGAAGAAGGAATTAGAAGACTGTTAGCTTTCCCTCCTGGATTAAGGAATGAGTGAAGGCATCCTAGGCACAGCAGCGACTTGAGCAAAGACATGGAGGTGAGGACTGGGTTTGGTGTAATGAAATAGGCCAGAGGGGTGGCTCCACAGGGGCAGGGGCAGGGGCAGATGTGTGTGCATGGGGCTTTGGAGTCAGCTGGTCAGAAAGCCTTCAGCTTCCAGTTTTATCTTAAAATGTGGTTTTAGTAACAGATTTAAAGGAAAAAAATCTCATGACTCTAATCTTGTATACTAACATTTCCTTGTTATTTAGGGATCAGACTTGTTATAACATAATTCCACTGTACAATTCAATGAAGAAGAAAGTTTTATCTGACTCCGAGGTATTTAATATTTCATTATAATTACTACATTGGTCTTATTCTCTGTGTAAAAAGAAATTTACACGTGGTAGTTTTCAGATAAATGCTGTTATGAAAATTATTCTTGTCTAAGGCTGTAGTTATTTTTTTTTTGTGAGGAAGATCAGCCCTGAGCTAACATCCACGCCAATCCTCCTCTTTTTGCTGAGGAAGACCGGCCCTGAGCTAACATCTATTGCCAATCCACCTCCTTTTTTTTCCCTTTTTCTCCCGAAAGCCCCAGTAGATAGTTGTATGTCATAGCTGCACATCCTTCTAGTTGCTGTATGTGGGACGCTGCCTCAGCATGGCCAGAGAAGCAGTGTGCGCCCGGGATCCAAACCCGGCCACCAGTAGCGTAGCGCATGCACTTGACTGCTAAGCCATGGGGCTGGCCCCCAGTAGTTAACTTTTTAAAAAAATGATTCAGAATTTTCTTGTTACAGTTACAAAAAATTTTTTTAAATGGCAGACGCGGGGAGACTTTTTAATGAGTCAGGTATTCCAGCATATATATTGTGGATTTTCCAAAGTGTAAAGGAGATAATTGATGTATAAACAACTTAGAGTGCAATGAAATCTAGACTGTTTAATGAGTCTGATAAATTATTGCTTCAAAGGAAGAAGAGAAAGATGCTGATGTGCCAGGAACTTCTACCCGAAAAAGGAAGGTAATATGTTTTTTGTTTTAGCAGAAGTAGTTTATATGAATTAAAATGTATTAAGAGCTTTTTTTTTTTTTTTTTTTTTTTGTTGGTGAGGAAGATGAGCCCTGAGCTAGCATCCATTGCCAATCCTCTTTTTACTGAGGAATACTGGCCCTGG